TACCTTTACTAACCCATTGAATCTCGCCGTAGTACGCGGGAGCTGGACTCACATCTTTTACTGCTTGCTTCTAAGTTGAAGGCGCGCTCTATGCAGTAAGACGTGAAGAACGGAGAAGCTTGCAGGCCAATTGTACATAAGGGTCTGCAGTACCTAAGGAAGGTAAGTATATATGCTTGATCATCTATATCATAAATCGATAAGTATTTTGCACGACTGGAATGATGGTGAAGAAGAATGTGAACACAGAGGTATTTTGAAATTAGAAGCTGTCACCCCATAATTCAGCTTAAGAAGATGGGAGTTTAACTGTGTGGCGGTGACCTTGACTGTCTGCGGAACCAAAGAACGATCAAACGATACACACTCATGTTTTTGCTGGATGCTTGTGGCTAAAGCGGACCTGACGTAAATTGGGCTAAAGAGAGGGCTACTACCCAAAGCCCCCAATTGCATTGCACGCAACATTACTAGTGAGCCTACTAAAGCAAAACATTTCAAAAGTTTTTTTTGTGTAGAGCTGGCTGGGTTTTGGAAGCGTTGAATCGCTTGTAGCACCAAACGTTTACATATAAGTGATTGTATGCGAACTGTCTACGTTGGAAGCATTGAATCGCCTGTAGCATCAAACGTTTATGTAGATAAGTGATTGGATGTGACCTGTCCACGAGCTGCAGCCGGCTTAGTGTCCGTCAACGCGTAGGAATTGATATTAATTGGAAGTCTTTATGGAATCCTCCCTTTTAATTCAAAAACAAAACACCTATTGTACATGTCTTGCGAATGTTCTTAAGAGCCCATTCAGGAAGCTTGAAGAATGGGCGCTGCGGCCTTGGCACTCCCGAACGTGCATACTCTGCTTGCATTGAGGGCCCTTAATACTCCATTAAATTGAGAAGGCTCTAGACAGCACCAGAGCATAAAAGAAAGCTGCACTACAAAAGTGAGTTGTCTTTTAAGGTCCGAGTGTCTAGAGTATGGCAGTTTGCAAAGCAACCTACCTACCCGGCTCAGAGCTGCGATGCCTGTAGGAAGTGCAATCAAGGCTCGTAGGAACTTTCCACGAGCCCTATTGCAAACGATCCTGCCGACCAGTGGTTCGTATGCGCGGTGTTTAAAGAGGCTTCCCTAGAGGCTTAAAAAGGTGCATAGCGTAATTTGAAGCCACGCTTGATTTCCTTGAACCTGCTTCAACGTCAGGACTCCCCTCTTCAGCTTCATTAGGCCATGTGGCTCCGTTCAATTCTTCAGGTTTATGGGTACTTTTATCGTACAGGTATGAAGGACTTTGATTACGTAAACTCACTTGTTGTTTAAACAGGAAAAAACCACGCTAACCCTTCAAGCTGCACTTCCACTCCATTCATCACCACTGGATCAGCAGGAAGTCAGCTACAGCAGCATATGTAATATTACGAGGTATCATGCTCCTCCCAAGACCTCAATGAGGTGAGGCTCATCCCCTTGGCTTGCAGTGAATTGATGTGCCTTGCTTTTCAAAAAGGAGCCATCTGTCCTTATTCCCATCCATATAGTTTCGGTATGGGAAGGGAAAGGCGACGGATATGCAAGGAGCTCCACCCTTTCAGCCCTCCGATTAAACGCAAGCAGTGGAGCAAGGTACACTAGCTGCAAGATAGAAAATTGCACATTTTTGCCTTCTGACGCGCACACTGCAATATGAAACTGTATAACTAAAACAGATACAGCATGTGATCAGATCTTACTTGAGTGTCACCACTTTAGCAAAGCTGCGCACGTGTTGCGTTAGCCGCTCTATCCCACGTACTGTCTGTCCGCGGGGTTGTGATTCACAAAGTAAGTAGGGATTCGAAAGACTGGAGAGACATCGATACATTTACCACTGTATTTAGTATCATGCTAGCATCCCTTCTGCTGTACAAAGGTGCCATTTACAAAAACGGAATTCCATGTATATTTCGTTGCTTAATCAGATGCATACAGATCACGTGACAAACATGTAAAGGCCCCACATTCTTCGCATGGATAAGGCAGGAAAAAACTGGTGATTTTGCCTCGTGTAGGACTTTTGTAACTTCATTTAGCGCCTTCGTTGAACACCAAGGGAAGCTTTGAAGACGCGGCCATAGAATATACTATAGTTAGGGCTAGGGTTGAACTGGAAGCATGCTTCCGTTACAGATTTAGCAGGAATATTTGTGGCTTCCTACAACTGGGCAACCTGTGTCAACAGACGAGTAAAGGGTCTCTTTTATGGCTTTGAGTCTCTTCAAAGCACCATGGAGTCTGTCCCACAGTACCACCCACAATACAGCTCTGTTGCCACACTGCAGCCCTTGCGTCCTTTTACTGACACTGTACCCCGAAGAGGCTTCAAAGACCAACTCACATCATATTTCAAAAGATCTGCACAGTAATTCTAAGATTCCACGCGTGGTTGCTGTTACCTGACGTGAAGTGACTTCAGCCCTAAAGCAACATAGGGCACATTTTGACTTTGCAATAAGCATAAACGTTCTCTAGATTCATGGAAATTTTAAAGCGAATGTAAAAGAAAATCACAAAGGTTTTAGTGCTTGGAATCTCCGAATTTGGTTGAAGCGGGAGAGATTTTTCAAGCTGTCGTACTCATGCGGCCAGTGCGTCGTTTACGAATCAAGATTGCAACTGTTACTCGGAACTTAAAGCCTGGTGAAAAAGTGTCTCATCTATAGATGAAAACATGGTAGTACTGTATAGACAGAGGATAAATTAGAAAGGGGAATACTCACAGAAGGCTGCGTTATCCGGCAGTGCGAAGAGCTGGGGGGCCAGATGAAACACAGACGAATGCTGCAGTTCATTGTAACAATATGCCTCCTTACGGCTGCAGTACAATCACTGGAGCTACCTGATTCTGTTGAGCACATGCTAACAACAGGTGGAATCCATCGTGGACAAGCTATGCAAACCAATGAGAGTAAACCTACCCGGGAGACAGCATGGGCATTTTGGGGGTCCCATTCCTTAGAACAAGATATGCGGATACAAATTAGAGATGATATGTCCGTCCCTGGGTCTGTGGATACCGTTGCTTTCCCGGCTCCATCCAATGAAAGAGCAGAGCAGCACAAACGAGTACCTTTCAGTACTGAGCCTTTACCACAAGAAGACCACGCTGGGCTCCACAGTGGCAGTAGTGGGACCTCTACAGGGGCCTCTCATGAGCATCTCCTGGAAGAAGTATTGCGGCCGAGAAATGATGAAGGGAGAGCCATAGACGCATGGGTTGACGAGCATCTTCTCCCTGGGATTGCACCGGGGGAACTGAACTTCGCAACGATCGACGCTCTCCGTGCAGAAAGACGCAGTATCGAAAGTGCCATAAAGACTATTTCAGAGTCGCTCGAGCTGAGTTCGAAGCGTGGCGTCAAGTCACTGCTGAAGAAGCTTAATGAGAGATTGGCTAATTCCCTTCAGAAATGTGAAGTGTTGACGGATAGGGTTCAAAAGGCACTTGCAAATCTTTCAGCCTTTCAAGCATTCATTCAGAAGCGTCAGGCAGAAGGCGAATACATGACGAAAGTGAACAAAGCCTCAATCGACAAAGTTGAACGAACTATCAGTGCATTAAAGGATAGACAAGCATTTCTGGAAAGTTGTATCGCGAGGATGACCACTCCCTGAAGTTTGATTGGCCGAGATTCTAACAAAAAGGATGAGACTAAGAATGACTAAGCTAAAGGTACTCAACATATTCCTTCAAATCAGGGAGCACTATCTCTGCCCGTGCGGATATGTCTCCCTACAACAGTTTGTTCTGTTAAAGGGAAATGGGTCCATATATTGCAAGTGCGGCATTGCATTGAGAATGATTTGACGCCATTAAGCAATAAATTTAGCCTCTGATTCAGTTTGTGTTTCTAATTAGGTTTTTTGGCACGCATCCGCTTTATGCAATTAGCTTGCATTTGTGCCTGTTCCGCCTGCTTGCCTAATATCCACCTCCCAGACCAAGCATTAGGCATGCTTGGCAGTGCGATGGGTTAGCAAAATAGTCCCCAAGAAAAGCCGCGAGCGTGTTCGTTTTTCGAAGTGGCTATGGGACACAAAGGCGCAGCTATGTTGAAACAGAACATCAAAACCTAATAGCGGTGCCAGTGGTCACGCGTCACTGTATTCTTAACAGCTTCCGAGATTCATCTTCTTGCATCATAGAATTTGGTACAAAGCGAATATTAATACAACACATCTTGCTATTATGCTTCCCAGAGGTTCGGCATCTTCAGCATGCCATCCCAACTGCAAAACTGGGCCACGCAGTTTGTGAGAGTCAACAAAGTGGGATTCTTGATTACGCGATACAAGCGAAACGCCTTGCCGCTTGCATTTTGGGGGAATTCTTCGACTTCGCCGTCCAAATTAATTGAAACGGGTGTCTTTCGCAGCATACTAATTCACTTCCAAGGCTCTCGATATCCCAAAACCGAGTATATCGTTTCATATTGGGCCAGAGGCACTGAAAAGGCACAAGATTTCTCTGAAGTTCTCTAACAAAATGACAGGCTCGGATATTCGCCCACTCGGCGCTCCGAGTGCCTGTGCAGCTATAGTTGGACAAAAAGTATTAAATGGTACTACATGGCCGGCACGATGCGAGTAAAAGAGCAATATGGACAGTATTCCAGCCGTCTGCCATTAGGTTGTTCATAGTGGTAGGTGGCGTCAGTCTGTGCCAAAATAAACACTATTCCTAGCTAACATATGATTCGCACCAGTGCGGCATGAAGATGCTACTCTCCAAACTACTGTCGGGTCGTGAGGCTTGCTACACTTTTTCTTGGTAGTATGACACTCTGCACGTGTAAACGTAGAGGAAACAGTTCAGAATCCAAGATCTCACTGCACAACTGTAGTGCCTTCCGGGTCACACATTTGTCCTCACTTGGATCAATTTTCTAAGGAACCTAGTGACAGGACTCTATTAAAAAGTAGAAGGCCACAAAACAATGAACAAGGAAACTTCCGTTGATTGTTTCTTAAGTTTCTTGGCAATCTGCAGCCACCGACTTATGCCTTTGGCGCCGGCGGCCGACACCACTGAAATCCCAAGAGTTTTCATCCTCCCCCACTTCATTGGGTGCTTCCTTTCGAGCTGCATAAGCATCCGAGGAATCACCTTTTTTCTGCAATCCTACGACTGTGTGAACTGCCCCACAGCTTCCAATTGGCAACTTTTCATACGGTCGCTTGAGAACTTCGCACACTTGCTCCACAAGCCGCGCACTTTGCGCAGCTTCGTATGCACGGCCCGAGCTCTTCGAAGATTCTACTGTTTTAGCAGAGCATTTCGCGATGGATGCCTGTGGCTCAAGGTGAAGCTGCCGCTCGTTTGTCTCTCGCTGCAGCATTCGCAGCGTAATGTGGGCCTTTAGCACCGACTGGAGGCCCCCCGGACTCCAAGGGGCGAAGTATTCGTCATGCCACTTGTAATAGAGCCTACGCAAGCATATCGAAAGAAATTCGCACAATACGACGCATGAGTAACACCCATTGAGGGCCTTCTTCGGTTTCGTGGTCATTACTGGAGCATAATGCAATAAGCACTATGCCGCAACTAGTTTAGTCAGCCTATAAAGGTTCAAACGTTCATGGCTACAGAAGTTAGGCTTTTCAGCTGTAGTGGGCTGTAAGGAATGCACTACAAAGCACAATAAGTCTAGAATCCAGCAGTCTCCCCAATTTACCGGCGAGTCATCCGCCGAAATCGTGAACGGGGAACGAGAAGCTGCTCCCTCGTCTCTTCATCGAGGGCTTCCACTTCTACTCCAGCGGACTTTACGAACTCCAGCCGCTGGATCCTGAGCCTCCGCGCACAAACAACGCCTGCATACTCAAGGATTTGTTGCTTACGGCTTTCCCAGCGCTCCTGGCGCTGATGGAGTAGTTGCCGAAAGGTCAGATACACCTCCTCTATTTCGTCCCATGATACCCCATGCACTCCGGAATACTTCCAGAGCTGCTCAAGACGAAGCCGATTCATATGAAGCTGCAGCTTGTTAAAATTGGAAGCCTCGCCGGCGGCAGATTCTCCTTCAGCAGTGGAGGCTTCCGTTGCACGAGGAGGAGATGCCCCGGCGGCCATTAGCATTTCTGCTGAGCCTGAAGGGGAAAACGAGGCCTCTGGTGCCTCGCCTGCTGAGCACCTGAACGGCTGTAGCCGGTGGTTATGTAGCAGTGTATTTGGCCACAGGGTATTCGGTTCAGGGTACTGCAGCCATTTGGCATCGCCAGTCTCTTTTTCTTCACCGTCTTGTGAACACCATCGAGAGCGTTCAGTGTATACCCCACTATCCGCTGTAGGACTGCTGGTCCCCAGTAGGATGTTGATTACAGCCTTTACTTGAGAAGGTTCTAGTGTCTCTGGATCCGCAGTAAAAGGGAAGGGGTGGGGGGAGGTGAAGACAAACTCCTGCAACGCGGGCGGACAGTCGCTTAGATCGCCCGCAGAAAGCGTCTCTTTAGTGGATTCAACTTTAGAGCTTGTTCGGCCGCCGACATCAGCATTGCCTAGAGAGCCCTCAGAATCCGTGCAATCTGTGTTTTTGCTCGTTAGCTGCTCCGTTGCAAGCTGGCCGCCAGAACAATTACCCGGTTGCGCTGGAGTGGAGATATTCCTGATGGCGAGCTGGGCGGAGGTCGGGTTGACACTCCGAAAAGGTGCAAAAGATGCATTTCGATGCAAACACCTGCAAGTGTCAATACTTGGTGTGCTTGCGGCAACGTGCAGCAGAAGCGGAGTCCGTGCATTATTTGGCGTGATGTTGCGGCGTTGCCTTCGCAGGCCACTCGAGAACCAGCCAACTCGCGCGGCCATTATCACTACCTTTTACCTGCATGCGAATGAACGTGGTGCTTCAAGCTGGCATGCAAACTGCTTTTAATATTCGCACTGATGCAAAAGCCTTCAGCCCATCTGCAATATCGCTCGATCAAAATTGGCAGGAAGAAGGACGGTTAGAGATTACTGGACGCATTGCACATTGTAATAGAAGATTTGGTATACCTTCTCCAGAGGGAAGTGAGTGATGTACACAGTTCCTGCCCCGAAACGCTGCCTGCGTTGAACCCCGCTGGCTGCTACTTTGGTAGGAGCGGCCGAAATAGCAAGTCTCGGGAAAATCATAATAATATATGTACGGAGTCGTCCAAGCGCTCGCATTCAAGGAGCAGTTGGCGTAAGCCTCATCCCAATTGCCGTGTTCTGCGTCGTTCCGGTAGCCGTTTTGCATGCGCAGCATCCATGATCCTCGATAATAAGATTGGAGCTTTGGGGTAGCAAACAGCATATTTTTCCCCATGAATCTCATCGGAGATCTTCGTTTATTTAGTGCGGAGGTTGATTTCCCAGCCGTAACAGCAATTCTGGCACGCATGGAGAATACGTACTTCCGATGCGTGCCCGATGGCAGCTATCCGCTGTTTCACGTGAAAATATACACATGAAAAGTATTATATAATAAGGATTTATGGGTCCTGACTATTTAACGTGCATACAAGTGGCGTTCTTACCTGTCTTCTGTCAAACCATGTAAGCATCGGGCGAGGCAGACCAAGCTACACTACACAATTGACAGTAGGGCAGTTACACGTACTTAAGCTAAGAATTAAATGTAGGCTTTAACTCTCGTTCGTTTCTTTCTTCCTGGATCAGTATTCGCTACACTGTCGGGAAATGTATGTGAAAAACTCCAAGCAAAACAAAGGAGAAAGCTATCAGGGTTCAGCCAGGAAATATTCTCTTTTCCCTTACCTACAAGGTTCTGGAATGAGATGGGAGACACATGAGAGACTGCCAAAGTGCACGTTGTTCGCATCCTCTGAGCACTCCGAACCTCAACACGGAGCTGCACTCAGTAGCTTAGAGCTCAGCACCGTAACTTTCATTCTTGCATTCTGAAAGTATGCCTTGTTTGCAGCAAACCGAATAAGCAAATAGCTGAAGCAAGCACTCAATGCCTAACAAAATATTGTTTCAATTTTGCTGATACACTAAAAAATGCCAACGTGTAGTTTGGCCAGCTAACTTGTGCCTGCACGTCTATCTGCTGATACCAATCCATGCAAAGCACCCGAATGCTGAGTGTGCAAGCACCGGGACTGCGCTTCATGGACTTGCCCCGCCTTACTATGAGCTTGGGTTACAAGAGAGGAGACCTCGTTTCGAACGATCCATAAAATGCATTTGTTTAAACTTTGCTCAAGACTTCGGCTGGGTGCCTCTTTGTCAACACCTTACAGGTCCGTTATTCATAACGAGTAACTATAGCTCTTTGGTATAAGTTGGGCATGGTATTGCATTGCCGAATAGCACATTGGTGCTTCAATGCTGCTATGGCCAGCCTTGTGCGCCGGCGGTAGGGTCCACTCGTTGGTTGGATGTTTTGTCGTGCTGATGTGGCTTTCAAAACAAATATGCGCAGAGCTAGTGAATTTATCTGGCAGACTACGCCCTCACTCTTTAGCTATTTCCTCGAAAAATTACCTCTGGCAGCACTTCGCAACCTAATTACATGAACAATAACCAGCAAAATTTTATCCTTAATCGCGTTCAATCCAGTGAAAACCTGCCATTCCTCTCAATATCTACGGCTAAACTTAGCTGATAAATGCGCCACCTTTGTTAGGTTTGCCATGCTACATCTGGAATGTGATAGCTCTACCGTTTGTGTGTAGAAGCAAGGAGCTTTACGTTTGCTTTCAGTCTAATCACTTCTGAGGTGGATGAGCCCTGTCGTGCAGAGTTTGCAGCCATTCAGCCTCCGGGTCCCTCTCTATCGTTATGCTAGCGGGCTATGCCTCATGAATTATTTCAGTACATTCATGCCTTGATTATGCGGAAGGCGGAAGGTATAGTACCATGAAGCGTGTGTGCTGGGTCAGTGCAACATGACCAACTGAGACACCAACGACCACAAGTGCCGGTTAGTGCGACAGTACCTCTACTTTGAAGCTCAAAGAAGTCTCATGGGCCAGGATATCAGCAACTAGCCAAAACTTTCCCTACAAGGCTGCAGCGCGCCATAACAACTACAGTTCATTGGTAGCGCAGTGCAAAGCACGACTGGCATTATAGCCGACGATGGACAATAGCACCAAATACGATTAGGAATAAAACAGCGAGGTCCTCCCGACGGCTGGCTACAACCCTTCGCGCAAGACATGGCCCGGAACTACTCCAGTTAAAATTACTGGAGCATTGCCCGTGCAATCGAGTCAAGAAGCTGCTGCCGCTCTGCCTGGGCACGCCTTTGTTGCTGTTGTCTTGTTTGAACGCTAGCAAACAGCGAAAAACCCTGAGATGACTCCGGAAGTAGCAGCAGGAGCCTGCGAATTTCGTCGGCAACTGGACCTGGTGCGTCGTTTGCCAAGGATTCCGCAATAATGGAAGGCTCCGACCGGGAGACGCCGCTTGCCTTCCCACATGTAAGCTCAGCTCCCTTCTCGCGCTGCTCTTCCCGGGACTCGCGTAGACGCTGTACAGCGGAGACTTCCCAGTGTCTGAGCAGATCTGCAATAAGAACGTCGTTGATGGCGATTCCACAGAGAAGCCGACCCCACTTGCTGCGTACCAGGCCATCCACAACATGATCAGGCAGGCGAGTCTGCATAGATTGAGGAAGTTGCAAGCATGGCATACTAGGGTATGGCGTGAAGCAGTGCCCAGTACCAAAAGCGTGGTCAGCTGCCGCCGCTTGCTCTCGTTCCTGCTGTTGCAGAAGGTCTGGCCACGCCCGTTGCTGCAGTGCATGCTGCAGCTCGTCGTCTTCTGATAACAACAATTCTCTCCGTACAAATACATGCATGTGACGGGAAACGCAGTATGCTGGAAGCCAGGGAGACTCCACGGGGCAGTTAGTTCCACACAGAAGGTTTCTCGCCAACATGCTGGTCTCGCTGTTCCTTGAATGCGGGGGACCCTTAGGAGTGCAATCCAGTTGGTGGTGTCCCTGGAAGCTCCCATCCACGTCTTCCGTGCCGCCCAGTCCACGAGCACTATCTAATAAGCTCCCGCAGGCAGACTTTTCCGCGGATGCTACGAAAAAAGTTGCGTTATCCCCATCGTCACTTACTGGCGTGTCAGTTGCAGCGTTGGTCACACAAGAGCCTCGCGGGGTACTCTTGTACGCTGTTTCTGGCAACAGAAGCACCTCGTGTGTCAGAAACAAGGCTTCAGCCAGCTCGTCAACAGTAGCCTGAGGAAGGAAGCACGTGTCCCTCAGGACCCTTGGAGAGGGTCGCATTGCAAGCCACTTCTGGTATTCAGCCTTCAGTACATGCAATAACGCCTGCAGGCCATCCGTTTGCGGATACTGCCTCGTCAGTGAATCTCCTAAAGCCACCTGAATCCAGTCCTCTGTTCTCTTTCCTTGCACACACGAGTGCAAATCGCAGTGGTGCTGCATCAGGACGCTGCAAAAGCACGGCAGCGCCGGTGCCACCGCGGGATTCGCTGCTTTCCTGAAAACGGCCCGGACCTTCCCGCTAGTAATTGCGGGCATACAGCCACTCACCAACCCCTCCTCTAAGGGTTGGGTGCCACTAATCGTACTGTCGCCCGCCAAAAGCTCAGCACGGGTACCCTTCTCTTCTTGATTCACAGCACGGCAAGTATGAGCGCCTTTTCGCCCCTTTTCACCCGTTCCTAAAGCAGCTTCCACGGCCTCCTGGGGAGATGCTGGCAAGGGATGAACAAGCGGGAGGGTAGTCCGTTGCATGTCCAGCAAACCTGTGCTGCATGGCCTGCTGACAGTGAAAGGGCGAATTAGGGCAAGAACCTCAGAGTCCTCTAAGACCTTGTCACGCCAGAGCTGTATAGCTACCATGATATCCTGCAACAGAACAGTTCCCTCGTCTCTCAGCTGCAATAAACTCTTTTCAGTTGTCGTGTAACTCAGAGCCTCCACGGCCTCAACGGCGTACCGGAAAACTGCGCGGCTCCTCGCTGTGGGGAAAGGAAGCGCCGACACCTCGGTCTGTGGTGTAAAGCTGGTTTCCATGGGTTTCCCCTCCAAGAGCATCTTTGCAGCTGATGCGCTCAAGGCCCTTTGCTGGTCATCCTCCTCAGAGTGAGAACTGTGACTCGAAACGGAAGAGTTGAGACTGCAGGAAGCTTTCCTGCTCTCCCTTGTGTCCCTGACTGGCTGTCCCTGTGGGTTCCCAGAAGACACTAGCTCAGTAACGCCCTTGCTTACCCGATCTTCGGCACTTGCTGAGTCCAGTGTGGACCCCTCTTCTGAGAGCGGCTGTGCTGGGTAGCAGTGCAAATGCTTATCGAGGCAAGTGTGTGCCAGCAGCATTTGAACAATTGGCTCGGGGTCATAGGCCTCTGTAAGAAAAGCGGGTTTATGCACGCCGAAGGCCCCTGAGTCGCAGAACGAGAAGGCTGAGAGTTTTCGAGGCCACTGCACGCTAAGAGCCGTAGCCTCCAGGCCCTGTCTTAAGAGCTGCATCAGCGACTCGGAAGATTCCCTAGAAAAGGGCCCCAGACAACCCGCCACCTGGGCACGCATCATGAGGAGCAGTTGCTGCCTTCGCTTCCACCGTAGTGCATCACGAAGAAGCATCTCCCGCTGCAACGACTGCTGAAGCTGCGCTTGCAGCAGCAAGGCCGAGATCCGCTGGGGCAGCACTCGCGACTCGTTGCGGCTGCCTTGCAGGAGGAGCAGCAGCGTATCGATCGCCCCTTTACCTCGTCCTGGAAGTGGCTCCGAGGAGTCTGTTTCCACAGACTCGTCATCTACTGGGGTATCAACGAGTCGCTCCGAACGCCGGGGGGCATGAAATGATAAAAGAGCACCACCTAAAGCCTCAGGAGGGGATATCGGTTGGAGGGCCTCAGGTATCCCGGCAGCAGGGCCCTCTTCTGCTACAGCTTCCTGGAGGCGCCTCTGGCGCCTCGCTAGCGTTCCATAGAGCCGGTAGCGGCGATGCATTTTTATCTGTAACAGCGGATCGTTAAGGGTTAGGGGTCTGCATGTCAGTCGGCCACTCGTGGTTAAAGCACCAAGGACGGCTATAGTGCCAGTGGGACCCTGACTCCATGCTCCAAGTGTCTTTAAAGGGACAGCACAGCGCCTACAGAAACTTTCTTGAGGCATTCCGGCCCCGGCTGCAGATTTAGGCAGGGAACGCAGGTTACGGCTGCCGCATGAGCTGCAATAGATGTGAGAGGGAGAAACCTGTTGGCCCTCGTTCAGAAGCAGTCGGCGAGCTTCCTGCGTGAGCGGCAACGAAAACAGACAGGCGCCAGCGAAGCCGTGGAACGTGCTAGTGGCTGCAGGCTCGTCGACCGTCACTTGTAGCGGAGGCTGCGCAGTCCACGATGAGCCCAAGGGTGTCCGCGAAGAAATCGGGCTGCAACGCTCCCTGTGTTCGAGGTTCCAACTGATGCGAGGGAACATGCATATCTCCGCCTGAAAACGCACGACTGCATCAGCATCCTGGGAAACATTTTCACGGCAAATTGATAGAAAACGGCGTCTAGCGCGACCCAAAGAAGCTACAACGACAAGCAACGCAGCTTCTGCAAGGCTGCACAATGACGCTTTCAGCAGCAAGAGAGACATGGATCTTTGCGTGTCCTCTAGTGACTCCAGCGTCTCGCCCGAGTCAGGTGTATGCTGAAGGATCCCGTTGTGTGCCTCACTTGCCAAGAAACCTCCAGGACTTCCCTTTGGATTGCAGTCGGCAAGCAGCCCCGTCTAATTGTCTCTAACGGGGCTTTTCCAAAGTTAGGCCTTGTCTGTTGTTCGTGCATGCACGCGGGGGCCCTCGGCTCCGGCGTGCCACCTGGATTCCAAGCCTTCCCGATGTGAGCATCCCGGGGAGCATAGGGGCTGCTTGCGGGGGGCGAGGAGCGCAAAGGGTTGCAAGGATAAAAAGCAGGGTGCACACGAAAAGAGCTGCAGACAACATCTTCGCTGCGCCACGAGAAGGCGGCAAGGAGGTCATGAGTGCAGGAAGAGCTCTCGCAGCGAGGTGCGGCGGCAGCAGCAGCAACAGCGCAGGCCCTCGAGCCAGTAAGCTGTGTGGCCCGCATGAAGTCCAGCTGCTGCACTTCATTCGACTGATCGCAGCTGCTGTGCCAAATGAGACTTCTGTACCGCGACCCCATCTGCGGAATAGGCAAACACTCCACAGGCATCCACCAGCCTCTTTTCCTTGCAGCAGCGAATGCAAGAAAACAAGCATGGAACAAAATTAGTGGCTCTCTGGAAAGGACCAACGGCAATAATATCGTAAAGGGGCATCTCTACACCCTAAGGAGTCTCCAACCATCACAGTGTTAAAGGTGGTAGTCCTTACCTTGCGGAGGGAGGGCAGGGCAACGACGGTTAGCGGTTCGTGCATTGCTCGAAGGTCGAAAAGACTGACACACTCAGTGGCGTCATGAGCAGCGGCAAGGAGGAACGAGTGCGTAGGGTGGGGAGCCAGGGCAGTGAAGGCCGTGTGGTAGCTTGAGTTGGCAGTGCAAGGCGCGTAGAACGTCTCGGCCACACACTGCAGGCTGCTGCCGTGAGTGGGAGCATGCAGTGCGGGGAACTGACGTGTCATTCCCTTTGCCTGAGCACGAAAAGAGAAGCAAGAGGCACTAGACGACACTTGAGTAGAAGGCAAAAACCGCGAATCCTAAGGCCCCACCGAGGCCCGAAGGGACCGCATACAACGGCCTAACAAGCAGCCATGCCAGATCTGGAAAACGTGTCGAGGCATCAGCATCAACTAGCGCAACAGCTGATGCAGAGTAATTATAACAAGAGCAGCTAGTGGTGCATGCAGACAAGAACTGATGCGGCCGTAATCAATCTGTAGCTGACTCTGAGGTCAAGGGCCCAGAGGTTCTCGCTGCCGAGAAGAAGTGTCTGTCTTTGGTTCGGCAAGTAGCAAAGAGTTTGGAAGCTCTCCGTCGCTGGATCGGCCAGGGCAACGCGGTGCCTATAGCGCATCGAGGGTCGCGAACTCCGCTTAATATTGCGCGTAACTACGGAAAGAGAGAGAGGCACCTCCACTTGCATCTGCCCAGAGAAGCAAACAGCACAAATGAATGCACCTCGTGTGTAAGAAGGCAAGGGGCACAGCTTCAGCTACCGTAGGACAGATAAGGCACTCAATAAAAGAGAGGAACAGTAACATCAATGAAAGTCTCAGAGGCATCCACACACAAGTCAAAAGGGCGCCCGGGTGCGGCCAGCCGTCGCCTCCCGGTGCTGCCTTACGCCTGCTGCGTTTTGAAGCGGGAGTACCTGGTGGCTACTAGGATACACATAATAGCAGGACTGCTCGAAGTGCGTGTGCCGGAGGTTTCTTGACACCTCTAGTGCTGCAAAGGGATGCATACCCGGGCCTCCTCTGCCTTCCACAGACTGACAAACTGCGAGCTGTAGAGCAGGGCGGCCTCTCCCACTTCAGCGGGACTAACGGCGATGTTGATGACTGAAGGATGCGCGGGGAGCTGTTTAGGAACATTGAAGCGGAGAGATCCAGACTCTCTGTCCTTGTAGCGTGCCAGGCCACCCTCCTGTAGCGGCACTCGATATCCGTACGGCGCATCATGCAACACTTGGATTTCCAGTTGCCTCTTGAGCCCTCCATCATGCCTGAAAGCTTCGTAGGCCGCCGCGCTCGTGAAAGGCTCTGGCGAGTCCCCGCGTCTCTGGTGCCTCCTTCCGATTTCTCGCATGAAATCCTGCGCTTCTTCTGGCGTTACTCCCTCTTCATTGTGCTGGAGCCTCGCCACGTAGAAGCCTCTCGAGTTCCTGGCGTATATTAGCTTTATGAAAGGGTGCTTGTCATCGGTTTGGACCTCCAGGAGCCGTTCCGAAGCATTGGACTCCTTCGGCTTCAGGGTGTCCAGTAGATCCGGAGCATGCCGAGCTTCCCCTCGAGAATAAATGTTTCGCATGCCCCCGTTGCAATCTGCTTCCTTTCCCATCGGACACCAGCAACAAGTTGAGCAGCAGCAGCTACTGCCTTTTTGAGCGTCCCTTTCGCAGCAAACAGAACCCTCAGAACGAAGCCGATGACCCTCCCCGCGGGTCCACTGGAAGGTGTGGGGATGCAATTCTGCCAAACGCCGCCCTTCCAGTCCTAATGAGCACCCTGCGGCACGCATCGAGGCTTCCCACTCCGACAGGCGGGGGACAGACTCTTCTTCCGAGTCTGTCTCTGAATTCTCATCGCTGCTATTGCTGAGGTAGGGGTTGTCACTGTCACTGCTGTCGCTGAAGTGCCGAGCTCGTCCGTCCTGCCGTTTACCCTCGCTCCGTTCTCCCGACAGGGGGGTAGAAGAGGGCTCACCTTTACAAGCCCCTCCTCTGGAGTGTTTGGGGAGTCCGGTAGAATAAAAGACATCCTCTAGGCTGTGGTTTACGGCCACTAATTCAATGGCGCTGTGCGCCAGTCCGCAAGGCAACACCAAGACAGGGGTCAGGCCTTGCCTGGCTGTTGCCTCTTGCAGAGCCTCGTAAGGAAGCAGCTCTTCCAACACCGTGACATGCCTGCTGCCTGCTGCCACAGCAGCCGCTGCAGCCGCTGCTGTTGCCTTCTTGCTGTCCCCGGTGGAAAGGCCGTATGGATCGGGGTCTGTTGGCAGGCGGGCGCTGCAGCAGCAGCAGCAGGGTTGCGCGCAGACTGCGAGAGGATGATCTGTGAGAAGCTGATGGAAGTGGCAGACGCCGACAGCATTGACGACCTCGACCTCAAGGAGAGGATTGGCTGCACTTTTCGTGATTCCGCCTAGGGGGAGCGCCTTATCATGCAATTTAAAGCCCCCCAAGTAGCAACAAAGAAGAGAGCTCGGCTCTGGAGCACGGCCACGGTACACCACGCTGCAGTGGCTGCCGCTTCTGCTGCCTAGCAAGCCTCCCGAGCGGAATGAGCGAGACCAAAAAGGGGTAAAGGCACACTGTGAAGGGATCCCGCTGGGGCATAATAGAGACCCGTGCGGCAGCTTCAAGGGGCTCCTCCCTGAGAGGCCCTCCAAGGGCCCCTGCGGGGGCCCCTCCGGGGCCCCCACCATAGGAACGCAGAGTCAAGCCGGTCTGGTCAGAGAGACCCCTGGGCGGCCGGAGGAAACGTTGACACTGCTGCCTCAGACAGGGTGGGACACAAGGCCAACAGGTACATGCTTGAAAGGACTATGCATGCCAGCCGAGGCGCACCCAGAGGAGACAGAAGCGCTTGCATCTGTGAACACGCTGGACAGCTGAATAAGGGAAGCCCCTCTCTCTAGCGTCTACGTTTTTTCGATGCCGAAAGCTGTTTGGGTGGGTCCCACGTTGAGACTAAGAAAAAGCTCCGTCCCTTAGTACAGAAATATCCTAAAGTGGCGCAGTTAGAGCGTGCAAACGCAGGAAGCACAAGCCCCCTTGGCCTTGCGAGGCGAGCACCACCTTGGGGACTGCTCTGGAGTCAAGGGGCCCCACAGACACCCTGGGTGTTTTGAGAGAATGAATCCGCTGTTATTTGACAGATCTCCTCGTTGCTATGCTCCGTTATTGAATTTAAAGCTCTTTACAGGAGAGAGAACCCGCCTTTCTGGCTTCACTTTAATCTCTCGTTTCCCCCTTGTGGAGGGCCCCTGGGCTCTCCTACCGAACAGGAACGCCTCCCCACGATAAGAGAAGATCTCTCGCCGCAAATAAGTAGTTTGTTAACTAAAACGTCTTGCGGAAGCTTCCTAGTGTGGTCCTCTTGACAAGCCAAACAGTGGTTCTTGCTAACCCTCGCCGGAACTTCGTGCTGTTTTGTAGCTACATTCCAGATGAAAGCTGCTATTAAATCCCTATGGCACGATCAGAACATACGGACTGCGGAGTCTCCAACCCTTCTGCAGAAGCAGAAGCCTGCGTCCAACCATGTTGCAGCCGCAGAAGCAGTTTGGCTCCCAACACTCATCAACATCTTTGTAGCACTAGGGGCCAAGGCGGCAGCCCCCAGGCCTCCAGGAATGCTGGAGCTTCACGACCCTCTGGAGTTCATGTGAGTCCACCCACTGCGGGAGGATCCCATGAAGATGCCTTGAAGCCTAAGAAGAAGCAGCGGGCATTTGACTGGAGCCGGGCGCGCTTACAGCGCGTGCTGTTAAAAATCGCATACAACGGCGAGAACTATGCCGTAAGCTGGCGTTAGAACGAGCGACAACGTCGACTGCAGCATTAGCCTTTCTGGCAATTGCAGAGCAATTCTTCAAACAACGCTAGAAGCACACCACCGCTAGGTGATTAGGGCTGCAGCGTGCGTGGGCAGGCCTGGAGCTGCTTTGTACTGCACTGTGTGTGCTAGCACAGGGGCTTGCAGCTCAAGCAGATGATTCGGACGTAGTTACAGTGGAATCCGTCATATTCAAAGCAATGGAGAGGGCCTGCCTCATCCCCAGCCGGTCTGCTTGGTAATTGCCGAAGCTCTTTCCCCCACGATTCCCCTACTCTTCGTATCCACCAAATTTTGTACATCCGTAGATGCTCGATTCTGATGGTGACCTTCTGTTGAGGCCTACACCAAAAATTCGTAACTTTGCACGTCTGGTGTCTTTTCCGGACCGCGCCGATCTGCTGTGCTGCGTAACCGGAATTGCGGGAACATTTTTTGGAGCTTCTGGGACCTTCTCTAGGTTCAAGAGCCGCTGATGATGCTCTGTTTTTGGTGCGTTTGCAGCAACTTTTCACGTTGTGGCCGGACAGATAAGGGTGTACATGCAGCCGGGAACTACATTTCTCTTAACATGCGGATCCTGTGAGTTGACCTTGTTCTTCTTTGGTGTGTAGGATTCCCGATTAGTTTTCAAAGGTTTCACTTCTGTATACATTCCCTATATCAGCTATTTAACAGGATCTACTGTTGGGCTCTTTTGGGGGCGGGGGTAGGTCGCGGCTTGTATTGTGGGATGTAGTTGAAGGTGTCTGTCAACGTGCCACTGCAGCGACAAGGCTCCACAACAGCAGGAAAAAGGTAGGTTTGGCGTTTCAAGTATCAGCACTCAATTTTCCTGCTTTTGCTTAAGTGGTGCTCTGTTTGCCCTTCTATCGTATCTGCAGCTGACCGCAAGCCACTTAAGGTGCGCGCTCAGGGGGTGGTGGGTAGCGCATACAGCAGCACCTACAAAGGTAAGAGCTGCTGTTCATTTTGAGAAAGCATGACTAAAGGATGTCGCCTTACTTCGGTGTTATGCTTTACAGGTGGATGTTGTGGAGCCTACGTATCTCTGCTGAACCGCCTGCTACCCCCCGATATTCGCATCCTCGCTGCCACTCCAGTCCCTCCTACGTTCGATGCACGGTGAACCTAGCTGCTTTCTCCATTCGGTTTCTTAGCTCTCCTTTGACAAGCTCTGATTTTGGGATGATGTGCTTCCCATCGGATAACAGCCAAATAACACTCCGGCTTTTGGATCCTGGCGCGTTCACCCCCCGGCAAGTCGCGGGTGTGTGACGGTTCAAAGCACGGATATATAGTGATTTACAAGTGATTTTTCGTTGTCTGTTTGTCGCAGGTTTGATTGCATGTTTCGATTGTATAAATATTACTTTGAGACAGCCGGTTTGGACATTCAGCTGATGCAGACGGCGGCCAGACAGTTTGTAAGCACAGGACTTTGTTCTACTTCTCTTCAAGGGTCCCCTGTGGATTATTGATTGGCGATACGCCCTTCAAGCGTCCATTTACTATTGAATACAAGGCATATAGTCAAGCCTGGTGAAACGCTCTGTAGGTGCAAGTGCAGTGTAAGTTAGGGAACCGTCGGCATTGCCATTCCACACGTGCAGTGGTCCCTAGGACTTGAGTCAAACCTCATTTCATTGCATCTATTGGTGCTGGTGGATAACGTAACGGGACATGGAAAACTAGTTCACTGCTTGTTAGGGAGGAAAAATTGGAGACTCTATCCATGCTGGGCTGGAAACCCCATAGATGACACTCTTTTGGCACCATGGTGATGTCTGTAGGCTGCAATTGTCATGTATTTATACAGACACACTTATCTAGCCCTTTGAGTGTGTACGAAAAGTTTTCTCCTCGCAATCTATTCTACGATCGTGTGCACCCATACTCTATGTACATATGCATGCCAGCTAGGATATGTGGAGAACGTATTTAGACATATGCGTGTAATAATATTCATTTACACACATCGCGTACATGGAGATATAATTATATTCTCTCATGGCCATTCATAAAAAGCAGTGTAAATACGTTTGTGCATGAGTCTGACGATGCACATATTCGTGTATATACAAAGATATGTGTCTTGTAGACGGTGTCCAGGACGCTCCTATATAATTTCCCCTTCACCTATTCTTTTTTTCCTAAGCGTGCGCAGCTGCTCGTGAATTTTAACTGCTACACGCCGCAGATTGGATTGCATAACTTCCTTCGCTTCTGCAAAATCGACAAGAAGCAGGATAGGAACCTTTGGTGGGTCCTCTCCTCTGCCCTCTCGGCGATGGTTTTATCCTTCCTTGGTAACATAGAGTTGGTTGAAGGCAGGCAAGCATAGATCCGCATAGATCCAGGTTCTGTAAGTGCCATGAGATAAAAAGCTTGCAGCACTGCTGGAGGTCTTGTAGGCACAGCTACTGAGGGGAAAGGGAAAGCACCAAAGAAGGTTGCTCTGCATGCTTGCCAAATCGAACGAAGATAGCAAGAGATACCTTGCATCACGCACTTTTCCAGCATGAATCGCTTGGTGCACCGCAGCAAAAGGGGGCATGTATGACTTGCAGGGGCTTAGGCATATGAACCATCTTGTTAGAGAAATGACAACTATTCACACGCCCTTGGGCTATCTTTGCAGGCGGCGTATCCTTCGGTTCGAGATAGAGACTCAGGGAGAGGGTTTTGCCGTAGCGACCATCGTCGGAGTCTCCTTTTTGTGGCACCAGGCGAGCTCTTAGTTTGTAACAGAGAGGCAGAAAGAGGCACTGGTGCCTTACCAGCCATCTTTCCACGTGGTTGCCCTGCTCTGTTTGTATCTCCTTACAATAGATGCCAATGCCCTATTCTACTGTTTTTTCCACTGGATTCCGTCTTCATGTGGTTACATTTCAACAACGTTCCAGTGGAATAATCATTGATCGTGCCTTGTGTCTTAGGTGCGATTCATGATGGCTGCACTTCTGGAGGTGGGAAGGGGAACCCGGCCTATAAGCTTCATTTCGTCTCTCTTGAGGGAGGGGAAGGACGCGGACGCTGCCCGTGAACATAGTGGTGGTGGTAGAGCTATTGCTGGCAGTGAAAGCACAAGGACAGATGACAGGGACCATGGAAAAAAAAGTTGTGGCGGGGAAAGGGCCCTGCACCCTGCCCCCGCATGCAGCCTGGTGCTCTACGACTGCTGCTTCGAAGGGCTATACTTCCAGCGCAATGGAGTGATAAACCGTCTGAACTCTGGCTCCAAAAGTGCATCCTTGCAGGTTTTAAGAGAAACGAAACAGCCTACAACCGACCAGCAGTCACATGGGCTCGATGCACAAAACTCGAAGACGGCGGCTCCTAAGTGGATCGGGAATGACAAAGGAAAGAGGCCTTCTTGCCTTCAGCTTACACAAACCCCGGGATGCACAGAGGAATCGCGCAGCTTCCAGGTAGTGCTTCGAAACATTAGGTGACACCTAAAGTGGACAGAGACCGAGTGGGAGTTGGAAGAAGGGGGCAGCCCTAGGTTGACAGCACTTCCATCTTGTGGGGCAGCGAATATGTTGCTTTCGATGTGGCTGTGTCTCAGGAGGAATACGCTCGTTCTGCGCGTCGATTGCTGATTCTGAAGTGCTTGTGCGATCATTCTTTTCCACCCTGGTGATGATTCTCACAATCATATTTCACAATTTGTGTCACTATGGCCACGCATGCATACGCTGCCAGGCAGCAGAGCTTTGCGAGTTCAGGGTCGGCAGGTTTTTGACGGAGATGCTTGGACCTATTGTTCAATTCAAAGGCTTTCACAGCGTTCGCGAAGCTTCGCAGGAATGATAGGATGGTATCGATAATGGGGATTCAATATATACCGCATGCTCAAATACGGAAGCTTGCGAGGGAGTTAAGAGCTTCAGCTCAGGAATGCAAAAGGTGTGGCGGGCTAATTTCAGCAATCGGAGGGATCTAAGGGGGTTAGACTGCACGATAATTATCAAATTTGCTAACTGGAACTTCATGTTTTCAAACGCCTTTTGCACTCTGTAGCCAAGCCATGTGGGGGCATCTCGAATCATTGAGGCTAACTACCTTCCATGTAGCCTTATCTCCAGGCAGTCTGAAAATATTAAGACAAAGCTAGTCTTGTCTGCTGATTCCCCTGCCGAATAAAGATATACCTCCTCACCAAAGATCAATGCTGAACATTGGAAGAGTACATAGTCATGCAGTTCAGAAGCAACACTCGAAAGGCATTTACGCGTCAGCCTCCACAAATCAGCTGCATGTTTTGGCTTACATTGCTATCCCTTAGTATGTATTGTCCAGGAGGATCGGCACTACAGCAGACGAGGCTTTGCTCATCAGGGGGCCTAGTCCCGTAACTGACGGCGTATCACATACAGCAATTCCGTTTCTTAATCTAAAAGGGACCCATCCAATGTACGTGCTGACTACTATATGAATCGGTGATGACGAATGTCCTAAACACGAGCCAGCTGGTAGTGCATTCGGACTGACCATAGATTTTGCCAACCCCCGACTTTAGTAGCCCTACGTGAGCAGTGCCCCAGCAACAGAACATTACGCGCAAAAGTAATGACGACGAAAGTGGCACGTAACACACATAGCATCCTTATTAAGATGTAGTTAGCCCTTTCCGAGTTGCGGAGCTTGGTAAAAAAGCGGTGCTCAGCACTGCAGTATAAGTTCCGAAAATAACAGTCTATTTCCAGGTACACATGTGTTAAATGAAGTTTGACAGCAGCGACTGATGCAAACTAATACTGAGAACTCAAAGCTGTACCGTCACACTCTTAGGCCTTTTTCGCCACTTAGTGGACCAAGATAGATCATGGTTGCCAACTCCATAATATAGCCCCCTGCAAGAGGCATGCACTCGCCCAAGTATTGACCAAGACTTCTCTGCTGTACAAGCATTCAGTCTGCTTCCATCAAAATCTTATTAAGGAATACTAAACATGGCTTCGAACATTTACATCGGAGGTCAATAACCGGAAACACAAGCGAACCTCAAATGACAGTGCAACATAAAGGGCTCGTAGTGGGGAAGAACCATAGGAGTGCAAGTAGCTCCACTACCCTAGCAGTCCAGAACCTCACATACATTAGGCAAACCTTTCAGAACATGCCATATATTCTTTTATTGTCGAGCTAACCTTGCTCCAAAAGAGATAAAGCAACTACCGGGGTAACCTAGGAACGCGGACACATTGGTTTACCGGAGGTTGCCCCGTAAAAACCTGTGTGTTTAACGATTACAGTTATATAAAAATAAATATATCTAAAATCTTGTAGAACCGAGCGTGAGAATAACCGGATGATGACCTCGGAGTAAGGTCACGAACCGGGAGAATCGGATTTGTTGTGAACCTGGGTGGAAAAAAAACAGAGCATTGTATTGTTTGTGTAACTGATAGAAATAACAGCCTAGACAGCAACAAATGCTATGGCAATAAAGGCTATGCCACCAGCAGATGACAGAATCATCAATGAGTGAATGATTTTTACGACCATTTTGATCGTCTGGACCCAGACGCCGGTGGAAACCGTTCACCCTTTTGAGGTATAAACCCATAAGCTCGTATCCCCAGACGACGCTCAGGCAGTCTCATTCAATGTAAAATGATGGAATCACATTAACTGCGTGTCTCCAGAATCAGTTTCCGGTCTTTTTTTTGTTGGCTCTGCGTTGTCTAAGGAACGCGGGCACCGCCGGCTACTAGAGACTCCAAGGCACAGCCTTTCAAGATTTTCCTCTTCGTGGACTGTCACCATGAATTAACGTTTGTGACCCAATAGTTTCAATAAAGTGGATTCTGTTTTGATTAATTGCGGAGCACAAATCGAGAAAAGGATCACGATTTCGGGATTATCTGCATTCACTGAATAGACTGGGCAGGCGCGGAGTTTGAGGAATCCTTCAGATGCAGACCACGGCAAATTGTTTTTGTCATTCCTCTCATAACCAGAAAAAGCAGCACCTTTGTGAGCTCGCTTTTATTTGCTAGCTCCCTTGCGCTGCTTCTCGGGAACATGAGCTAACCGCTACGACAGTGGACCCCTGGATCCACGGTAACCATCTGCACATCTGATCCCAAGTTGCGAAGAATATTAGCCGATTTAATTGTTTTAAAACCAGTGAGAAGTGACGAAGATTAAGCTTCGGAACTCTCTTTACTCGCAGACACACAAACGGAAGCCAGGAATACTCCAGCTCCCATCAGTAAGTGATCTTGAATAAAAATAACACAACCAGGGCCTTCCTTTTGAGCTGAGATTGCATATGATACCGTAGATAATCACACCTTTGGAAGATCAGTTCCTGTTCAAGGGAGTAGAAGAGGACAGGACGTCTGTTGGTAATTCACATGCATATATACGCGATGGAAGTTATCGGAGTTGTATGCTAGTCTTGATTTTCCCCGATACATAATAGTTAATGTGTGCAGTTCTGTGTGCGCTTTACTATCAACGCAGGAATTTGCGTGTGGTAATGACTCTGCTTTTACACATTCCTCCCCCGCCGGGGGAAAGAAAAGCTGGTCTACAGCTATTTATTCTTTTGTTGTTTTTGACCTTTAGTTGTCACGGGCTGGCAAAACCTATAAATGTGACCATAGAGCCTCATAATTTAGAACGGGAGAATGCTCCATTCGCAGTTTCAGCCCCAAAATATGAAGGTACGGCGAGGACACAAAGAAGCGCTACTGAGAATAGAAGGCAGTTTACGCTCTGCAGACCAGGGTGTTTGGTTGTGTTGTTTGTCAATAGCGGAATCACTGGCTATGATAAGAATCTGTGGTCAATCGCTGGCCTTGCTTATGTAGAAAAAGCGTTTACCTACGAACATGGTACGAACAATATGCCCACTTGTTTAAAACGCGTGCCATGTGTTTAGCTCAAAGGATCCTGGAAATGGACGCGGAGCCACAGAGTTTTACACAGGGGGAGAGGGACATGTGGAGTGGGCTACTCGATCAAGAGTACATTATGCAATCATCCCGATCCCTCGTGCAGGCCTTCAAAACAGGTTCGTGGCTTAATTGTATCTTACGCACACCTCAACAGAAGCAGCTTTGCACACTAGAGCCTACAGCTGCTGACTTAATTGTTGTATCGCGACCAAGTAGCTTTTCTTTGTGGGCTAGGTGAAAAAGTGCATCACGGGTCGTTACAGAGTTGTGGTTCTGTGCGTATCTGTTTTGCCTGTTTCTCTATTTAGCTTCAAAGTACATTTACTCAACCGGTTTTGTTCGTAATCTTTTCTCCAAAAATCCATGGCTGCAGTTCTCAGTGAGCAGTCTGGAGCAAAAGTTAGTCATGGTCAAGAAGCTTGAGAAGATTGCGACGGGGTCAAAGCTGAGATATTGGAGTACGCTGACAGTAGCAATGTTATATTTCTCCCTGAACTTCTTCCTGTCAGCTAAATATACTGACCTTTGTTTGGGCGTCTCCTAGAACGCTTAACGTTTTGCAGAATTGTAACCTTGACATCCCCCTTGTGGGAGGTTTTGGACCTAAAATGGTTACTATGCATGTTGTGCCCCCCAGAATTCATTGTTGCTTTCTTATAATGTTTGCCTACAGACAAACCCCGGAGCGCCGCTAAGTTGCTAGCTCAGCATTCCTTGTCTCGTCTATTTCCTTTGAGGCGGAGAATTATTGGGCCGGGTAGGCGGCAATACCAGAAGCACTTCAAGACCCTCAACCAGGCCCTGCTGCAAGCAAGGGCTGGGACAGATGCCCTAGAGCTCATTCTCGCTTCTAAAAGTGAGGGAAAATAGAAAACTTAAAGTATAAAAAACCTGCAAGGCAACTTTGCGTTAAAAAGCTTGTTTAATTCACAGTCTTTGAATGAACAAACGAAAGTTGTTGGTAATAGAACAGTAAACAAATTTTTTCTAGTAGTTTTCCCGATTTCATATGGTTTTTGTTTTGCTGAATGAATTCTTCCACCATTAGGTTTTGGGGTTGCTACAAATTTATTTTTGTATGTCTGCAAGTTTGCCTACTTTTTTTATGTGCGTTTTCTGGCAGCTCTGCCCATGTACTCGTGGACTGACAGCTTTTATTCACACCCGATCGCGACCCTGCACAGCACAGTTGCCCAGGCCTTTGAAGATGCTGTGAATGGTGTGAGTGGTCTGTTTTCAAATGAAGTCAAGAGCAGCTGTTTTTCTTTTGCCTACCGCGTCAACAGCATCGCCCCATATACTGCGGTTTACCCTGGTGGCATTCTCGGAAACATTATGAACGGTCTTATTCGTTCGTATTTATTGGTCTTTCAACATTCTCTGATCAATTTCAAGGGTATCTTTGCTCTCCTAATTGGAGTTGTCTGCAAAACGAGGATTATACAGGCAGCTGTAAGCGCCACTCAACCAATCTTTAGATTTTTCAGGAAAGGAATGAGAGCAATACAGATCCTCAAATCGAAGACTATCGGTAAGCAAGGAGTAATGCAATCGTGCATTTTATACCCTAAAAATGAAGCGCTTGCTTCTATACAGGCGAGTAGGATAGCACACTATTTGATCGGTAATGTTTGGTGAGTGCTCTGTGTTATTTCATGCAGCCATGAGGGGAGACCCCATTGGGCGAGGCTTGATGGATCGTATGTTCAAGCGGGAGGCCGTAGTGCTTACCACAATTCTCTTTCAGCTGCATGCGGTTAACGTGGAGGAGCAGTATGAACACGCTGATAATATAAAGACTGCACTATCTGGTTCAGGCGGTAGCTGGTCTCTTGCTGAAGGGCTCTTCATCGGGGCAGCTGAGTTTGCTCGGGCTTTCCATTCTCTTGTGATTCAATACACTCGTAGCGCAGATGCTTACGTAAAAATCTGCAAACACATTGAAAATGAAGCCCATAAAAAGGACGTTGAGCTACAGGACTTCTCGGAAGAAGGCACAGGAGATTATATTCCGGCTGAAAGCAGGACTATGCAAAATCTCGCAGACGAAGCACTTGAATTTTTCCCCGAAGCCCACCCAGAGGCTTCTGGCGCTGACGAGCCTCTAAATACTCTTCAAAAGCTTGAGCTATTAAACAAAAGCTGCAGGAAAAACTCGGGCTTCGTGGCGGGGTACACGACTAGAAAATTGTATTATGTGAAGCGAGTGATTGGACACATGGTGCGCGTTTTGCAGTACTACTTCAAATATTTCAAATCTTATATTGCAGATATTCTTTCTATTTTTTACGAGACTGCTCTAGCAATGCTCGAGACAAAGATCAACGACTCCCTGGGAACACCAGAAGGGGTTACAACTCAAGCAGAAGAGATGGCTGCAGCGGAGGCGCGCCATGCAGCGAGGAAGAGCGCGGCACAGAGTGCCATCGAGGACAGCCAGCTTCCTAGAAAAATATTTAGGGCAATGAAATTTGCAAAGGAAAGCCAAAATCTCGCGCACGGCTTTTACAAAGCAGGTGAGTAGTCACTTTGACAATCTTCCTCACGGTAGTTAAGACATGGTATGGCCAATTACATGTAAAGAAAAAAACTCGTAGATGTGCTCTTGCTATTTATGCAATGTATGGTTCAGCTGGAGCATTCTCGCTGCTCCACTTGGCAGAGACACATGAAGAAGACGATGCTGAGGCGACAAAACTAGTTGCTTTGGAGCTGCTGACTCAAGGGGAAGCCTCGATGCGTTCGGGTCTGGGCACGATATACGAGCGCTTTTTAAACAGTGAGGTCCTGCTAAGTCGGGTGGTAAAGAGCAAGAAACGACTCAAAGTCTTTGAGCTACTCGCCAAATGCCACACGCCACTTGAAGAGAGATCGGAGGATGCAAAATCGGTCTGCGGAAAGATCGTAACAAGTGAAATAGATAAAGATGAGTTTATTGCAAGTGCATTGTTTTCTCTGAATCTGCCCATCTCCGGACCGCTAAATGACATTGCCTTTTACTCGACGGGCACCGCTACAAGGGCATTCGAGCTCTGGGCGCAGTACAGCGCGGCTAAAGGCAAGAAGAACGCACTCCAGATAGCAAACCGGAATGTTGACAACGGTGCGATACAATATACCTGAATGAGTTTGGCTTTGTTTAGGAACACCAAGGCACATTTAAGATTCCCTCATTCGCTCAGAGCAGCACAAGATTTACTTTGGACTCACCAAATTCCTGTAAATACCTTCAATACCTTTAAAATACAAAAGCATATTCATAATTTGAACCAGGGAAGCTATCAATAGGATTGTTCGGAGAGGTTTTCTTGGTGTTCATCACAGGCCGCAATGCTGCGCTCATAGAACATCTCCGCAATGAAGTCAATGAGAAGGTACGAAGTGCACCACAGGTTGGCGGCACCTTTGCCAATCCTGAGGTATACCTTCAAGCCCCCACATTCCCTCTTGTGCAGCGAAAGCACACAACACTCATATCCCTGTTCTCTTATCTGCCACTTGTGTATGTATCCTATTTTCCAGTTGACTTTCCGGCGTTTTGAAGTTGTGGAGCACACAGCGAAAATCATTCTCTATGACGAAAACGGCAGAAGTCTAACATTTACTGGTCCGGTCTCTGCTTCCGATATGATTAGAACAGCCCAGCACAAAGCACAGGCAATCACCCGAGCCCAGCAACAATGCAGCGAAGAGGCACCAGTATAACCGCTAACACGTAAAACTGCGCCTCACTGCATTCATAAACGTGATACCTTGCTTTGAGCTGTTATTGCGTACATTTTAACGTTATTTTGCTGCCTCTGTATCTATATGCAGGGGATGACCAGTCCAAAGTTGCAGGTAAGGATTTACTGTGAAGCTACGGCAGGAGGATAACCTGAATGGGAAGGGCTTTACCAAGACCAGCAATCGAACCTTTGTGTATGTTTGCTGCAGAACTTACTGCTCCTGCACACAGCATAAATGGAAAGCGTGAGTCATTGTATTGCATCCACACTAGAGATGAGTGCTTCGAACCCCTTTCACGCTGCGCAATGAACTGCTGATCTCTGATATGCATATCTTTCCACAGGAATCGCCAAACCAGATCCTCTTGATTGTACAAGCCGGTTCAAAATAAAAGAAAGCAATCATGGGACTTTGGTATTTTATCTAGCCTCTGGCCAGAGAGCGGGAGAAAAAAGCGGAACGCGAGACCCTACACTGGCAGCACAACGCGAACTCAGCCCAGCAATTGAATTAGAGGGAAAACTAGAGTATAATGACGAGAGAAAGGAGCTGTCAAGCATTCAAAATGACCCAACGGCAATCAGGGACACCATAACGGCCCATTTCGTTGAAAAACAGGGGCGTGTCACAGCCGAAACCGTAGGGCTACACACGCTGGGAGAATCCTATTTACGCACCACAAAGAGAAACTGAATAGCCGCTTGATTACTCGCAGCACATATTCTGTGTATTGCCCTTTTTACTAAAGCTCGTCTTTGGGTTGCTACTATATGCACTACAGTGTCGGCTTCATCGTTGTTCTTCGTTGCTAGACTTCGTGTTGTTTTGTGCACTTGTATGCAGATTTCTGGGCTCTTGATGATGCTCCACAGCCGCCTCCCAATTTTTTGGAAACGAAGTCCAGTTGAATTTCTACAAAACCTGACACCAAAAATGTTTTTCGATGCCTTAATGATCCTTTCGACCCAGGCCTACGACCAGACCGAAGCCACAGTCAGATTAGACGGAAAGCTTTACTCCTTTCCAAAGTCCTTTACAGCGCTAAAGGACTTATTTCTGAGTGCAGTTAATCGCGCTATCATAAGAATGCATAGCCTGAATGCTTCGGACGCAGCTTTACTGATTGCCATGGGAAGCATGCATTTCGCCTATAAAAAAATTCAAAAGCACAGGACTGGAAGAACAATAACAATGCACTTGTTTCTCAGGGAGGTTCATCATATTATGAATATTCTCACAACTTCCCAAGAGAGCCTTAAGACTTTGTATGCAGAGTGCCACTTTTTATCCAACTGGGATGCACCCGAAGTCGAAGATGTCCTTAAATGCGCTTTATTCCGTTTCCTAAAAATAGGCTCCCTCAGTGAGATTTCATCCCAAAAGGTGGGTATCTCAGTTGTTCACTGCAGTTTTTGAGCTCTTGTACGTACCTTGATTCACAGCATACCTTTTCTGCTTAACACGTTTCTTGCAGAGCATCCAAAGGAGCGTAGTAGGCTACACTGTGTATCATTATCATTGTGTTCACCAGGAAGATATCGAGAGATACGCCAATGCGTTTGTCAGAAAGTTGGCTGAATTAAAGGGCCAAGTGACATGGTTATCTTACTTGAATCTGGATTACTTCAATAAATCAGCCAAGATCTACGCGAAAACAGCGGCCAAGTACAGCTATCAGGTCCTGTATAATCAGTTGAACGACCTTTCAGGGAGCCCCGAAGAAGAATCTGAGCTTGCACGCCTCATGAAAAAGCTCCATCCCTCTTTGTCGGGCTACAGGCCTCCCCGGCCCAAGAAGAAATCCGGCTTCATCGCCATGCTCGCGCGATTCAGAGAAAACATTGGAATTTTGCCAAGATCTGTGAGGCAAAAGGTTATCGACACTATTCGAAATTGTGTAGCACGCATGAGACGGTTCCTCGGCTCCAGGAGGTCTTGGTTTTATAGATGGAAGTAAGCCTTTCTGGCAGTAATGCTACCAGCACTTTGTCATGGAGGCCCCTGCCATTCGCTAGTCTTGTTCTGGTTTCTCCGAATTTGAACAATACTCACAATTACGCTTATATTACACTGCTTTATAGATGCTTGGACTAATGCGGGCTGCAGAATCTCTCCGAGGGTAATTCAGGGGCCACATTTCATGGGCGCACTAAAGTACGCTGAGATTGCAACATATCCTGATCCTGACAGCCAACGCGAGGTGCTCATTGAAGTGTCGGACTTGGAGGAGTTTGGGAAGGTGTTGCTCACCCTAGAAACAGTGGCGGCCACACTGGACAGCCCGCAAGCGATGTACAACACCGTTACCCAAGTTCGGGCGACTCCCGCCTTCACTCCATCGGCAAGACGTGAGCCCCTGCGGAGTCTTGCAGCTACTGCCCCTTGTTCGGACATTCTAAGCTAATCCATATATACTGATGACCCTATGGCTCACCAGATATTGTATTCGCACCATGATGATGTGTGTCCCTACAGAAGAACACGAATCGCTTATAGAACGAGCTAGACTGCTCGGGTCCGCTGTCGTGAAGGTGGCTGCTGGTTGGGTTCTTAAAACAGCCGGAGCTGCAGGGGTAAACATGGCATTGGGGCTTCTTGCACTTCTTGATACGTCTGGAACATACATCGACAAAGCCCTACAGCTGCAATATCTTACTGCCGAAGCCCTGGCGTTTTTGAACTCTTCGCTGGATCTCGGATACCTGCTGATGCATTTACCCGAGCAGACACCGGCTGACGTCAAAGCTATGCGTTTCCGTAAGCCGCATAGCCAGCCTTGAGAAAAAAGTAGGGCGGCTGAGTTGATAGGCTCTCTCTCTTGTGGGACTAGCGGATATTGCATTTGATGCGAATACACAGAAACTTAGCTCAGTTATCTGACAGTGGGCAGCAAAAGATACCGGCTCAGAAGGCAGTGCAGCACAGTGTATCTCATCAATTCTGTCGTGTTATATCATTGCTTCTGGGAACAGATATGCGCAGTAAACACCTTGGTGCTTTCGCCGTGAAAGCCCAAAGCGAGCCCAAGGGTTTGGGGGTTAACACTGCTGATGATGTCACAGTAACGGATGCCATTCGGCGAGTAGAAGCCTTTCTCACGGGAATCTCCAAAGGCATGGTAAATCCATGAAGCCCCTGCTTATACAGAGCCTTTACAGATTACGAGCTTAAGATGAGTGTCATACTTTGTTCCCCATGCGTTCGAACAAAAATGGCCTCCGTCTATATGCGATTTATCCCGACCCTTCAGGAGGGCTCTTCATTTTACGAATGGTGCAACACCCTCGTGAGTCGGGAGTTGAAAGGTCCGCTCACTGCAACAACATCCTTCTCCAGTGAAATGCTCCTAGCGTCTGATGCATTCGGATTGTGTTTTCTTCTCCTCAAACTCCGGGACCACGCTGGAGCTGGGATGGACACCATCAAGATTGAAGACATTCTTCAGACAGTGTATATTGACCAGCAGCCAGTCTCTGAGCACCTCAAATTCCTGCAAGAGAGGAATGCTGACATCGACGAAAGGAAGCTTAGGGTAAAGTATATTGAAAAATTCCTCCAATATATGCTAGTTGCCACAATCGAAAGCCTTGGAATCCACCTTGGAGCCATTAATTTCAGATCTTATGATGGTGAAACAAAGGTTCTCTCTTTCCAGTATACAAAACAGGAAGCTTCTCCGCCTGGAGCTCCAGCGGAAACACTGACATTTGCAGCAGACCTGCTGCTTGGTACGCACACTCAACGGAAGCAAAGATTTGTTTCTTTTGCATTTGAAGGTAAGCAGCTGCCTCTAAGTATTCTAGTAACAAAAGATGCTAAGTTCTTCGGTGGCCCCGATCTAACACGGATTGAGTCTGGGTTGGCTGTTTACTCGTCTCAGTTGAGTCTCACTTGTTGTGCTATTGCAGGACCTCAATTTTTGCTGGAATGGTACAGATACTTAATGCCTAAAAAGCTTCGCGAATTTGTAGACGCTGCTCGAGACAATAAAGCGACAGTGTCATACGCAGAAATGAGAAAGCTTAGCAACGTATATACCGTCACGGATCTCGCTGACTTGGCATACAGTGTGCGGCAGTCTTCACGTATAAATGCAGGGACGGTGGCTCGCGAAGCCGCGCTGAGAGTAATGGAGAATGAAGCAGTGCCTCCTCTCACGCGCTATGGTCTAGGCCACATGTTGGTGGACGTGGTCAGCCAAGCGGAGCTCGTGAAAAGGAAATGCATAGGTAAAACCTTGGATGAATACGATACTTTCAGAAGCAGCCCTCTTCTAGAGCGGGAGCTGTTCAAATATGATTGCTTCTACACCAAGATATCTGAATCGAGCGCTTTCGCCGATGTGGCGAATAATCTCAATGAAGCTCACATCCGCGAAGTGATGGAAGCAATTGATACTGGTATGCTAGGGAAATTGAATACGAAACCGCAGGTGCACACACACACACTTACATAATACTGCTCCTGAGGTGTTGCATTGCTTCGCGTTTTCCTAGCATTGGCTCTCGTTTATAATTTTTCACCCTGTGTAACTTGCACTTGTTGTCCATCCCATTAAAAGTGTCTTGTTTCACGGAAACAATCTTCAAAGCGTATGGCTTCGCGTCGGTGTTGTCGCGCTTCAGCCTACGAAAAGGAGGCAGAGGTTCTTTACAACAAGCTGCTGAACAGCGAAGTTCCACATACAAAAGTAGCCAAAATGGCTTTCAAGTCAATGGAGGAGTTCCCCATTGCGGATATGGCGGACAATCTCCTGCCAGAGTTCATTGTATGGGTGCGAGAAAAAAAACCTTGGGGTGAGGTAGTAGACGCTCTTAGATTACAAAGAAGCACAGCCTGGACAGCAACCCGAAAAAGTACAACACTCGGCAGGCCGGTGACCAGCCTTGAGCATCCGATGCTCATGAATCCATTCCAGATTATAATTGATGTAATACTGTCGACACTGACCGGTGAGCGCCAAATACATCGATTCCCCCCTGAAAAGCATGATAAATATTCCCGAATGAGGCGGCATGCATCCCACCTAAAGTATGTGCGATTATATGAATGCTCATAAAACGCTTTAATATAAGCGTCATTTATCATGCCTCAGCTCGACCGTCCAACGTTATTTCTGTGTGGAAGAAATGCATGATTTACGTGTAGGTACCGCCAAACGAAGGCGCTTCCCAGTGCTGGCTCCTTTGAACCGTCTTAAGGCACTTTATGCAACAATAAAGCCAGGTAGAAAGAGCCTCGCAGACTACAATAACGATTTGAGAAGTCGGAAGAGTCTGGCGGCTGAGCAGCTGGATCGTTACATGTCCCAGTTCCCGGAGGAACCCGTGGAGCAACCTCTGGAAGTAAACGAAACTCAATAACAGAATCCTCCTTTGGCGATTGCTTATCCTAGCATACAATGTGTTTAATTTTTCACGGCTTGCATGTGCATACAGCTAGCTGAGGCCAAGAGTAGTGCCTCTCAAGCGGGAGGGCTGACGTATTGGCATTCTAAAGAGGCTTCGTTTAGACGCTCAATCTGTATAGGGCTTTGGAGCCTTTAACTTTCGCGCCGCTGCGACAAGCCGTGCTCTGATTTTCAGAGAGGTTTGGTCATTAAAGGAAACCACTGTGCTATCCTGTGACTCCGACAAGACGTACGGGATAGGCGTTCGACATCACGCCTATGAGAAGCGTGATTCACTGTTAAGAACTTGCCTAATGATAAAAGGAGACCTACAGCGTTGTATGGAGACGTGCCCATATATTTTTCATGTACAGGAAAGGGATAGTATATGTGGGTCTAATGAATATCCAATTCCTCCACACCTACAAGCAAAGATGTGAAACAGTTGGTGGGCAAGCAGTAGAGACTAAGTTTAGGAAGACGAAGATATAGCTAACAAGCAAACAAAGGATTTCGACATAGGTTGCAACTTGGGGGTGTGTACCATCCTATAAAATCTGTTTTGAAGGGTCTTCCCCGGCAACAATGCTACTTTACAAGCGTCCCATTTGGGGTGGGGAAACGTTCTTTAGAGTCTCCTAATTTCAATGCATAGAAGAACCTCCGTTATCGCAAATTTCTTAGGAGAAACACACTTTGGAAGGGTGGCAATTGGACTAATTCCAAGCAACGAGAAAGCCAATGCAAGTCCCGAAGATCTCTATTTGGTGATTATCCAAAGCGAAATTCGTTCAATCAAACAAACTTTCATTATCGTATTCGTGCGGAAGAGCACTTACTCCATCTGTCGTCCCTCCATTCAATATCTTTCTTGGGCTGCGCAGCTGAAGCAGAGAGTTTGATGATAGCCGCGCGTGTGTAGTCCAGCTTTTTCAAGGCCTGAAGAAGCCTTTACAGTTGTGTAACTTATATAGCAATAGATGCGTCTCGGAGTTTCATGAATGAAGCTGCCGCAGCTCAACAAAAGAAAGGAACGTGGCCTGTGATGGATAAGAAACCACTTCCGTTTAAAGGCGTTTATGCCTATAAGCTGAAGCGGCCGATCACTTGCGTCATATCCTACATTTGAAAGAAAGGGAAAGTACGAGCTTCGCCATCATTTTGCATGCTCGAGGAATAAAACGCAGAGACTTCTGGTGGTGCATTCTGGTCTTTCCTTCACGTAGAAATGCAGCTAGCTTAACGGGGAAAACCTCATAGGGGATCAGTATAAGTCAAAACACCTTATTAAACTTCCTTATTTAGTGAGAGAATCGACGGAACTAGATACTAATGAGATTTTCGGCTGGAGCAAGTCGCACTCGAAGAGACACCAAGCACCCTTCTCAACGACAGCCCTAACTTTTAGCTCTTCAAGCTCCATCAGGGCCTGCAAATAACTCAGAAAAGCTGATACACCTATAGGCGAGCAAATGGTGAGCATATGCCATTCTGATCACAAGACTGTAGACAGACTTGTATCTAATGCAAGGAATGCGCGCGGCGCAGAATAGCATAGCAAATACATGTCCCCATGTGCTTGCCTGTTCCTGTAGTTGGATGTTTGAAAGCACGATACAATACGACACACGCGCCCATTACGTGCAGTGAGTGATCCACTAGGAACACCTATCTGGCGATTGGTGTGTGTACCTCCTGTATTTTCTTTCGATGCAACTGAAACGTTGGTGAGAGCTTGAATGGAAACTTAGGGTTTTTCCGCGAAGCTGTCGCACTTGATTCACTGAAAATCCGTAACACATAAAAAGAACAGGTTCGTTCCCTATACTTCCACAGAACTACCCAGACTTACTCTAATGTTTCTCACAGGGGCTCACGAGAATGAGTGCTTGTCAAGTTCTGAGGCCAAGGAATGAAGGCCTTCCAACTTTGAGGCTTGAGTTACTTCAGATGTTCTAAGATGCCGTTGGTTGTTCAATTCACTTGGGAACAGGAGCATCTTTAGTTCTTCCATACCGCATTGCATTCCGGTAACGACGCATGCAACAATGTACCCTTCCTCTGTTGCGCCTTCGTGAAGCACATGCAACTACCGTCGGCACGCATGCCACAGCTATAGTTCGATGCTCACTTAAGATACTCAAGGTCGTTTGTAAGGCCTGAATACCAATGTTCTGTGAGCCGCAGGCGGGCCACCACCCTGCAAATCAGTTTTCGCGGAGTGTGTGCAACGTGAGCAGCATAAATTCGGAAAACTCAGCGTCTCGCTGAAAACAAAGTTGAATCTGGCACTTGAAAGCTTTAGTAACCATACGGAGAACAAGCGGAGCAACAACAAAACAGCCAGCGGACAGCACTAGGTGGGGTGTGTTTCCCTGGCGCTGTCCATTCGTTGAGAGTTCAAGTAAAGTTTCACAGGTAGTAAAAGTGGCAATAAATGCGTTTTTCAAACACAAATTCTGTAAGGAGAAAACAATGCTGGGCTAAAAAAACACGCCCATTGCAAAGAATCTCGAATTTCGATACGCTACCCAAGACTCTTGGCGGTGCGGTAGATCTGGTGACTGCCCTTATTCCGTTTCCAAAAAGAAAAGCCGTGTTTGCTTCATGTCCCTGTTACAAAGACAGATGTAAATAGCTCTAGACTCTGTTATGTTGAGAGCACACTAAACGTTGTGCTTGAATGAATATGCAGCAAGGCCCCCTTTCTCCGTAGACCGCTGGTCCGCCCTGCCCCCCTCCCTACATCCGGCATCTTGTTGCTGTGCAGACAGGTAAAACCATGGGTAGTCACCAACTTTACAGGCACCCCAGTGCAATAACTCACAACTCTTGTATTCTTCCTTGGTTTTTGTGGTTTTTAAGGCGCATTACCTCAGCTCAACCCCTGTAAGTGCCGCTGCAGTTGGATGAAGGTTTAACGCAGAGGCCTTTCCCTGCTAGCCCTCCTTGAATACCAGAATAATTCACTGCCTGCTCGTCACATGAAATCTTACCCAGCATTTTCCCGCCCTAACTCTGAGACATACGAAGGTCTCGCTTCCTTCTTGCTGTTATGACTGGAGACGCACCGAATCGACAAGCCGCGCGCACCGCCAGCGAGCAGAGGGAATACCAGCATAAAAGCTTCCTCTCCATCCATTCTTTTGGACTTTTGTGGGAGGTTTGGGGTATATCTATACCAGAGGTGGCGCTGAACGGCATTAAAGGCCCACCGACTGTAGCACGCCAACCAAGCAGGCAACGGCCGTTCATTCATTCCGCTCCCCTTATTTGGGTGTTCACCCACTATATTTGAACTTTTCACCCTTGTTTTCCTTTCTTTGGGCCTTTGGATACTCTTGCCTCTTGTTGCGCATCGTCACAACTTGCACTGCGTGATATGAAGGTGGGTGCAAGGTGCGTTAGAGTGGCGGCCAATCCTGAAATCTCCAAGAGAGCCTACGCATCTCCTACATTTTTGGATACCTCTGTGGCTGGCTAAGCATGCTCGTCAGCGTCCTCTGCTTTGGGGCATTTTCCAGCCAGCTTCGCTTCTAAAAGACCCTAGGAGTTCCTTCCTTTTGAGCACTACTTTCAACCAGCTCAGTGAGTCTAATCCACTCCTCGGATGCCCTAACAGGCAAATTTCCTAGAGCATGCCCCTGGCCTGTAAAAGCAGTGGCCACTTATTCTAGGATATAAGATCTTATACCTTTTTTCCCCAACCACAATAAAAACGTTCTCTGTGATGAATACAAGCCCGTGTAGTTGTGAATATTCAGGGTTTATATTAGAGGCCCCGTGACCCGCAGTAATTTTCTAGGGCTGCTGTAATATGCTGCTAGCATAGGTCAATCTGGACGATTCTCAACTTCCCAAGGTGGAGAGTATACCGTGGATATGTGCAAGAGCTTTTACTTTGTGCAGTTGCCTTACAGCTTACTGTGATTCATGTGTTTGGTTTCCACAGAGGTTCATCACGGCATTGTTTCCCAGCAAGAACAGCATATAGTGGGATAGCTTGAGCATGTACGAGAAAGAAGAGTGTGAAGCAGAGCAGAAGACCCTATGGTCATATCGAAACTTGGAGGTGAGCTAACTAGCTTGTGGAAAGCGACACTTTTCGCCTGGTGTTTTAAACATGATGTTTATTAGAATTGGAAAGGGGCAGCGGCTTGTGGGGAAATTGGACATTGGCGAGTTTTTCATTTAGCTTGGCATGACCTATAGACACATCCAAGTAATTTATTGTGCGAATCGTTAATGAGCTTACAATCTTCATGAGTTCTTCGCACTGCACCACTGTGGCTCAGTATGTGGTGTCCATGTTACTGCATTCGGAGGCAAACGCTCACTTCTTCTTGGGTATTGAGGCAAAGTATTTGTTGATTTTAGTTTTACAGCAAAACTTGTGTCCACACCTGATGGATTCTAACAATTGTGTTGAATTCGAGTCTTCTTTCTCTTAATAATTCTCGCAGATCGGTCAGGTCCACTGTGACCGGTAGCATGCCTCGTTGCAAGCAGCCACGTTTCAGGGTGCGTAAAGCAGCTCCTTTCCTAAAAGGCATTCTTCCACATTCTAATGCTTTAAATATTTGTTGAGGTCAATTTGCTGATATGGGGTACCCTGATTCGCGCTTCTTACGCCGTCGTTAGCCACATCAGTAGGGGAGGAGAAGAAGCGAGAGCGAGCCGTACTGTGGTTTTGCTCGCATCATCGATGTGTGGTGTTCCCCAGTTTTGGCGGTTTTTGTTCTGGTTTCCACTCTAATTAAAAGTTAATCCGTTATTTAAAGCCTTTCATATTGTTTTTAAAATTTTTAATCCAACCGTTAAGAGTCCCCATGTCTCTGGAGTGTGTTGCTCCGTGGTCTCAATCGAAGCTCCTCCTGAGCGCAGGAAAGACAGTTCCTTGAATGTTCTCATTTCGCTCAGACTGGCATCCTTCGGCTCTCATCGACTTTGCCACAGGAACTTGCCGGAGGCGACGAGGGGTATTGTGGCCACATCACGCAAGCACTGAACCACCAGCCATACGGATCCAGCTTCTTATGTATGAATCACTTCCTTTGCTCACCTGTACTTTTTCTTTTCCGCAGAGGATTCGGGGCCTGCTATTGATTAGCATATGCTTTCTGTGGGCTCCAATGTATTGCCATTTCAAAGGCTTTGCCCGTCCCCGACACGCAGATTCAGCTTGACGTCCCGTGTGCTTTCTTCCTCGATTGGCGGGCTTTCTACGGACTACACAGCAGCAATCTGGCGCACTGGCTTTTCCTCCAACTGTTGCTCAGCTACGTGATATAGTGCCGTCATAATTAGCGCAGCTGCTATATGGACTGTTGTGGATCTTTTTCTTTTGTGCACCATGGTGCTCGTTCCGTCAAAGCACCATCAACAGCGTCAACAACCCCAGCAGTTCCATCAGCATCAGCATCATCTCCCTCATGGAAGTTTAACTGCTGGTCCCCTACAACTACAGGGTAGCTGCAATGACTCCTCATGCGGCCCTGAGCTTGTAGCAGCACATCTGACAACCGATAGTCCTTGTCATCAAGAGGAATTAATTGAACGTCTTCAATGCAGTAGCTTTAGTGGCCAAGCAGGCTCCCCCTTGGCCTGCAACATGAGTCTCATCGAAGGTGTCGGAGCTCTGAAGTCTATGCCGACCCAGCGAGCATCCGCAGTGCCAGAAGCACAGGGGACCACGACTCCCCTCAACGGCAGTGAATTTCGTGGGGAAGATATTTTTATTTTGGGCTCTTTACAGCCGCCAAAGCATCTGGCTCCTCAACGACAGCGGCAGCAGCAGGAGCTACAGCAGCTGCAACCCACATTTGCGCCCATTCCCCGCCTCTCGTTATTTCAGAAGGAGCTCCTCAAAGAATTTCGTTCTTCAACAACGTCCTCATCTCTAGCGGATTCAAGGGGTACAGCTTCTACGGAAGATATGTGGCCATCCAAGCGACGCAGCAGAGGACCGCGAGAAGGCTCTGAATCGGGTGTGCAGGTTTGCGGGCAGACGCTTAGGCAGCAAGACCAACAGCCGCTTGAGCAGCATCAAGATTCCCTTGAGAACAACATGCATCAACACCAGCATCTGCAGCGGTATTCTTTGCAGCACCAAGATTATAATCACCATCACCGCCAGCATGATCACCATAACAAGCACGGGGTAAAACAACGGCAACAACAGCTGCCGCAGCAGAAGATGCGCCAGCAGCTTGTAAAACAGTACTTACTCAGCCCAAAACAACATCCTCTACGCCAACTGCAGAAACAGCCGAAGCTGCAGCAGCAGCGCCATATTCATCACGAATACCTACTTCAGCAGCAACAGCAGCAGCAACAGAAACAACATTTTGGCCTACTCCGGCTTCCTGTATGCTCTAGACGCGTCGAAGATGGGGCAGAAACTAACTGTTCATGCAATGCGTACTGCAACAGCATTAGCAGCTGCAGTAGCGTGCATATGCGGCTCCCTCCAGAGATGCTGAGGAGTCCTGGGGCACTTTCCCATGCGTTTATCGCTGGTGAAGGCTCTGCAGTGTCTACACGATGTTGCAGTGCTACCGAAGCTCCACCAGTCGATTCGCTGTTTGGTGGCGTCAGCTGTAGCTGTTGCGGCAGTAAGCCTAGTCTTGTTCCACATAAAATGATCCAATTATTGTCTGGGGGTGCAACAGTACACGACTTTTACCAGGTTGGGAAACTCCTCTCTATATGCACGATCCCAAAGCCAGTGCAGCAGAAGCCTGCTCAAACCCAAGGGCAGCAGCCAGAGCAGCCGCTTGACGATTTGTCGATGAGAGCGGCTACGGATTGGAACAGGCCGTTATTATATCATGCTGTTACACAAGATGAACGCAGAGAGAAGAAGGTTCTAAAGGTTGTCAAGAAGAAAAAAGGAGCAGTGCAATCAGAAGCAGATGGGTAAGTCCCAAACCCAGAGGCTTTTACGTTGCGGTTTCTGGATCATATGAGTAACATCCATGGTTGTTTCCCAGAGACTGTGATACGTGAATATGGCAGAGTAGTTACAATCAAAGGGGATGCTTCTCCCCTGTTGTTCATACTCTTCTCCCCTACCTCGTCATATGGAGTGGTGTGGTTCAGTGTTTCTTGGTCAGGCTTGAGGTTTTAGATATTGTGTGCTTTTTCAGGGCTTGGCGTCGCATGTGCACGCACATGTTGAATTTGCCTCCCCATCCAAATGTGTTGTCGTTTGAGGCGGTGCTGGAGACCTCGGACGCCTTTATCTTTGCTTCTGAGCATCTGGAGGGTGGAGAACTCTTCGACTTTTTGCTCAGAGAGAAATCGATTCATGAAGACGTCTGCCAGTTCATTACGCTGCAGATCCTAAGGGCTGTCGATCACCTACATAGACATAACCTGCTTCACAGGTACAGCAGATGAATAAACTGTTACATGCGGCACACTTACACCCTATCAGCCTTCAATGTACCTGGGGGATGACGCTTCCAGTCTTGCTATTTCTCTTCGCTGCAGCAATAGTTCCTCAGGTTTTCTCTTTCTGTGGTGACGGTTACTTAAAGGAATGCACACTCGATAGGGGCTTCCTGCTTCATTGGTTCGTTCCGATGGGAGGAATTCCGACCTGGGAAGGTCTTGTATTTCCTGTTTGTCTCAGAGATGTGAAGCCAGAGAATCTGATGTTTCGCCGTCGCCAGGGCCACGATGCCGCAACTTCTCCCAGATACCGGCAGCATTGGCAACACCACAAACGACGGGGACAGCACAAGCAGGATGGAGCAGCAATGGTTTGCAACGAGGAGGAGGACGCTATACCTGGCCCCTTTACGTTGTCAATGGAAGAGCAACATGAGCTGCTCCTAATAGACTTCGATACCTCTATGTTCATCCATGATCCTTATGCCAACAAAGTTGGGGAAGCGGGATCGTCTCCTCGGAGGCTGGTCGGGACCTATGGGTATCTAGCCCCTGAGGTCCTGAAAGCCGGCCACTACAGTCGTGCCTCTGATCTATGGAGTGTTGGCATTATTCTTTACATCCTTATGACAGTAAGGAATACCCTACATGGCAGTGTTAAAGCTTGCAAATAATTAGCAGCAGCGACGACCCCGATGGTGGACCACCCGGGAGAATCGTTGGAGGCAAAGGCAGTCCGAAGACACACAAACCCTTATTCGCAACTATGAAGTGTAGAAAACAGATCGTTACGAGAAGAGAGGTTAATTGTATTAGCGCCGGCCAATTGTCACTTGAGTTCTGAAGACAGATGCAAAATACTGGCGTCTGGTGCTTGTTTGTGTGTAACTCAGGGTGCACCACCGATGCCGATGGAAGAAATGACGTCAGCCCGCTCTGCTCTTAATGCCATCAAGAGAGTGGTAGAAGATGGAGGAGGTATAGACTTTGAGGCAGCATCCCTCGGCGAGTTTCCACTGGCCAGAGATCTGTGTCGCAGGCTGTTAGAGATTGATCCAGAAAAACGTATTCAAACGGCGGCACATGCAATGGAACACCCTTGGTGAGCTTGCTCCTGCTTTTGCTGAATGACTGCCTTTCGTTTATATTCCCCCTCATTCTCCTTGCGGCCTCTGCACCTTCTGGGTTCTATTACTGCAGCTTTGCTCCTGCCTATCGACTTCGCTTTAGCGGTTCTCTCATGAACCATAGGCTCAGTAACGTCATACACATGGGTCGCATTCTATTTTTCATTGTACTCTTCCTATTATTCTTGCGTGCGTGTGGTATCTCCCTCTCCTTAAGGCTCGACGTGGTCCGCAACCGCCCCTTGAGGTCGTCGACGACTCATAGTATATCACCCCATACTCCTACGTCTGCATCTGGGCAGCCCCCCGAGGGCGTTTTTTCATGCCCCCGCCACCGTTACCTTGTAGTTGATGCTGACAACGTTGACTCCAACGGATGCCCTGGTACTCCGGAGTACACCGCACGCCAGGCTGGCCCTGAAGTCCCCGGTGCTTCAGGGGGAACTGAACAAGCGGTGTATAACCAGGTGCATATTCACGGAGAAGCCGCTGGACACATTTTACACAAGCTTTCCTTTGTGGCTCCAGGTGTGCTACCAGAGGGGAAGGCAGCAAGGGAAGGGAACAGACACGCACTAGCGGTAGTAGCGCCAGCAGCTACAGCAACCGCAGCAACTTCATCACCGCATAGAACCCCCACAGAGGTTTCCTCACTAGAAAGCATAAGGACTAGTGGTGCTGAGAGTAGCTCAAACAGCAGTAAAACCAGCGGAAGTAATGATGCAAAGATTTCCGCTACACTGGAGGAGCTTCCCTCTTTGATTTCACTGAAGAAGGATCACGGCATCTCAAGGGCAAGCATGAGTTGCATTACAGCGGATTTGGGCCAACATTACTACAGCGGGAGTTTTCCAACACCCGAAGAAGCCCCCGGGGTTTCTCAGGGAACACGACACAACAGTGGCTGGAGTTGCGCCACAACAGTGGGAGGAGTAATACCTGGATACAGCACCAGTACCAGTAAGGGCGGTGTAGGAGGCAGCTTTTACAGCATAGGATCTCCCTATAATACCCCGCCTTTTCTGTCTTCGGCGCCAGCAGGGGGGCCCCATCCAGGGGACATCTGCTGCAGCGTGTCTGTGTCTCCTGCGTGCCTTTTTGTGGAACCTGAATCCCCGCTTGGTGCCCCTCTGGGCCCTTTAGGGACTGGTAGCCCCAATATTCCTTTCAGCAGCGACGAGTGTCACTGTAGCTGCAAAAACAGCCGCAGCTGCGGGGAAGGTGGACAGCATCATGTGCCAACATTTGAGGCTGAGGATGCGTGGTGTCGGCCTGAGAGACATCAAGTTCGTCTCAGAGAGCTGTCTCTAAGCTGCCCTCTGACCGTGAAGAGTCCTCGAGAGGGCGTTACCGATGGCCACATTTCCAGAGGGGCGGGCCCGAGTGGGCAGCAGCAGCAGGCGACGACTGCAGTGGTGCTAGTAGATCCGAGGCAAACGCACAGACTTGAACAACATGTACCGGGAACAAATAACTGTGCGGAGATCCAAGGCTACCCGACGACCATGCAGGCAAATGGCTGGGAGGCTCTGTGTGTTGAGCGGTGATAATCATCCTCAACAAACAGTCAACCACATTTGGAGCGCCATCTCTGAAGCAGCAGCGATTGCAGTAGCAAGGGCCGCAGCCAGCAAAGCAGGGCCGCAGCTGAGGACAGTGCCGCTACGGTACAGAGCGAAGGCCTCCCTCGGCTTTTAATCTTACCGTAGATTCCTTTTATGGGCGTATCTTTCTTGATGCCCATGGCTGGAGTTGAAATAATTGCAGCAACAGAAGTAGCAGGGAAAGTTTCAGTTGGTCTGCCCGAAGTCCCCACAACCGGTCCATGCAGCATACGAGCCGGTTAGGGAACGACTGTTTTCAGGCTCGAAAGCTTCGGTCAGCAGCAGGAAATGTTTAGTAAGGCAATAACAGCAGTAGTGTAGCTACTGCAGTGGCACGAAGAGGAACGGCCGAAGCAGAGGCGGCAATTACAACATTATGAATGCGGTGTATCGCTCGCTGCGTCCAGCGGTGTTGCGTAAGGTGTGGACCTGCTACAGATGGCTCAAGGCATCGAATTCTTGGAGGGCCCCCGTTGAAATTTGCGTGCGGCAATCCTGGTCGTATAGGCGGCTACCCGCTTGTTGCAGTGGTGCATGTGTATGCAGTTGCATTTGCTTCCTGGGTAGCTCACCTGGACAAACGGGTCAGCGATGCACACGTTCTAAGAGTGTGGATACCGCTGTTGCAAGTTTAAAGACGAAAGCACAAAATACACAACCCTAAAGGCGGGGGCATTTTTGGATTCCCTGCTACCGCAGGATTCTCGTTTTGCTTATGCTGTTCTGAGGTGTGGGCACACCCCCAGAGGACAGCCAGAGGGCGTTTCTTTGCTTTGACTCTACACAGCCTTTTGGCTGAGGCAGCGACAGTGAAGTAGTGCGCCCAGTGTTAAGGAGGGTCCGCTGATTGGGCCGCGCTTGGAATCAGCAGTCTAAAGTCTCTCGATGTTGTGCACCGACGCGCTTCTTTTAGGCGGTTTTGCTCACATTGCCCTTGTCTGGATACGGGGCTGTGTACACACCCGGATGACCCCGAGGGGCGGTTGTGCTAGAACCATGCTCTCCTGTATTATTCTGTGCAAAATCAGGCGTGCAACCCTCGTGATGCGTGATGCTGACTGGGAATGAAGTGTTGAGTGCGGCATTGTGTGAAATACCCTCTGGCTGCTTAGCTTTAAACCGCGATCTTATCGATTGAGATAGTCTTGCACTGACTGTGTCATGTGTGTAAGTCCTGCCGACCCCTGCATATGGGGGAGTGAAAAGGGGCACTGTGAAAATACTGGTCCTGGTGGGAGGCCTGTTGGTCTGCTCTAGGCATACAGTGAAGAAGCTATCGCCCAGCACTTGTCGGCTTTTGTGTTTCTATGAACCGAAGTAGGACGGTTTTTCACTCCAGAATACGTCCAGATGTAACGCCTTTTTATCAGGTCTACACACGGTGACCTGCCTAATTTTTGTATGCAGCGGTCTTGCTGTCCTGCCAAGAACAGATGTTCGTATTTTTTTAGCGGGCTAAAGCTGCACGTGAGAGTCTTCTGCTACATCAACAATGTTTGAAGTACAAATAAGTCAAGACTTTACTATTTTTCTTATTCATATATCATTTTTTGCAGAGTACTGTCAGCTACCGTCAGCTCGATAGAAAAAGACCCATGCTGTCTGCGTGTGCACTACACAGTATGTGCGAGTCGGTGTAAATGCTCAGAGTGCTTAGCAATCGCACCTACGCGTAGCCTTCTGCCCCTCCCTGTCGCTTTGGAGTCCTGAGAAGCGCGGGCAGGGAAGGAAGGAAGAACTTCTTAAAAAGCACTAAATACTTTTATCAAAGCTTGCCTGGCTTGAGCCGAAGTGCCTCCTGAGAAAGAATTGATCCGAAATTCAGGGCATCTGCATGTCGTGGCTCTGCGAGCCCATCCTACACTGCTGCCAAAGGGTAATGCTCCATCTAAGGTTACCGTGGAACGATACTTTATCCACACTCAATGCGAGCTACATGGAAAGTTACGCAATGTTTTCCAAAAAACGTCCTTCCCCTGGCTTCGCCCTCGCAGAGTTACAGACATGAGGAAAGAGGGGCACCTAATTCACTCATGGCTGTTCGCTTTTTCACCACGCGGACCATCCTCAGTGAGTTGCATATAGCATCCAGCCCATACGCACACAGCATTGCGTCTTATTGTATCGAGCTGATATTACTCTGAAATAAACAGGATTGACGCATCAATTTTTCAGTTTGAGGGGTCCAAATCAAAGATAGAGAGTGTACAGAGGGTGCTTCGGTGTAACTTAGCCCGCTGTATTTTCTGCAGCCATTTTGTAGCACCCTTGCTCGGGTTCCATACCTCTACGTCGAGTTTAACTGCATGCGGGACAGCGAAAGAATTCCCGCCCTATCGCTCCCCTGCATGCAGGCGAAAACACAAACGCAGTGCAACTCAGGAAAGCAGACGCATGCGTTGAGCGACAAAGCTAAATCGGTGGGAGAGAATTCACGCCCTAGCAAACAATGAACGAGGTACCAAAACAACACAACCTTGATGGCGCCATGGCTCGCTGTCTTCAGAACACTATGGTATATGAGTCTCTTGCTACAAGAAATTAAAGGACTGATCAGTATGTAGAAGGGATCAAAGTAGACACGGCAGCATCACTGTCCTCGTTTCTCGTAGGCTGATATGTGCATGCGATTGCAGCCAGCGCATGCAGCATGGTCGAAGTCAAAGCTCCTATAGAGGCATAAGCACGAATGTACAGACAGCACACCTAAGAGTGCGCACGGACATATCCCAGTGTAGAAGACATCTTAACAGTATGAACTGCCGCGTTTTCCAAGCAAGCCTGTATATTGAGGTAGCTATCTCCGGTAGAGCGTTTCTCGGTGAAAGGACAATCGCCAAAGAGCTCGAAGAATAAAGTCCGTGGAGACCAGCACTGCTGATGAAACCAAACCGCAAGCTCTCCCCAATGCAACGAATCCTGCTGAAGTTGGCATTTTCTCATCCCATTTCGCAGGAACTCTCATCTAGTATCTCCGCAGCGCAAGTGCCTTCGAATCCGGTACCTCTACGGCTCCCTGTGGAAAGTCCGCCTCCACTTGGGTAAGTTGCTTCCGCGGTAAATACCATGAATTAAAAAGGGAGGCTTGAAGCTTATACAGCATGCGAATAGTAGTAGTTTTTCGGCACCCTCAACTTCCAAAAGAATCAATAAAGTAAGGGACGAATGGGGTTCGTGAGAGGCTGCAAATGGTTCTCGCCATCGGTCGCCTGTCCGTCTAATCTTCTTTTGGTAAGCCCTATAAAGCCTGGCGATCTTCCAGCACCAAATATCTAGGCTTGAAACACAGCTGACCACCGCTTGCCACAATTCTGTTCTTGTCTCTCATGAGCTTCGCGCAACACTTCCTTGTATTAACCAGCTGGTCTTTGAGTGCCTTCACTGCTGAAGATTGCTGCAGACCCCTAAGCGTTAGTTGTACGTCCGGATGGTAGAAGTGCTCCTCAACGTGCACCAAGGATGCCGGAGAGCACCGGGTAAGCGAGAGTACTGCTGTATTATAAACGTACTCAGCACAAGCAAAAACCGTCAAGTCAAGGAATAGGATTTTTGCTAGCAAGGACTCACAAATACTGAGCGAGCGTGCGATTGGTGTGCTCCTTTTCTCTATGTGCTTTGGGGTGGTTCGCAGTGGTCACACTGGTATTAATGTGTAGGCTGGCCATTACGGCACGCCAGAGTGCACCAGCGAACTTCGGATCCTTATCCGCTTTGACACTCCTGAAGATTCTGTAAAGCCTTCACATATGAGGCTAGGATAATTGAGCAACTTATTGGGGTGCAATGGAGCGGGAGCAAGGAAAGAAATGGGCAATTCTGCTGAGTTTCTCGGCGACGACTTGGATGCTATCCTGACGCATGACCTCCAGCAGTCTCACAGTAAAGTCCACGGTCAGATTAGTTCATATTATTTTAACCAGCATAATTCGTTGCAACGCAGGGGATTTAGAATAACTGCTCAAACTGAGCTGCTGACAATTTGGGCATGACAGTGCGCATTCTGCCGCGGGTAGTATGCTAGGCCACAAGAACCGTAAAGTTTCCATTGTAGTACGTATCCCATCATGAAACGAAAGATCGTGCTCATGGGTGCTGCTCAGAACAACGCTGTATGAAGGAACTTGGGCTCTTCAAGCCACGGAATCCCCGCTTTGCTTTTTACCACAGCAGGGCCATCCTGAGAGGGAAAGTGCCTCACCCATTCACCATTGTGGATATCGGCAACAGTATTGGGTGCATGGGTGTCAAAAGCATTAGACGCACGCAAATTTGATAGACGCCATCAATGATCAAAGACAAGAGTAGTTGAGCTGCAGAGTAGTGAACCACTGGTGCGTAGCGAGAGCGCATCGATGTCCAATGTTGGTGATGCCCTCGATATAGTTCAGTGTGATGCTGCGCTGCAGGAGCCATCCATCCCAGCAAACAGCTCTAGGACTATCACAGTACTGAAAAGTCTGCATAAGGTAGGGTATATGCTAACGCTTGGTATGAACAAAAACGTGATGCCCACATGAATAGTGCAGGCATTCCTATAGGCCACCATACCGCATTGGATTTATTTGTCGAGTACTGGAAATTGCTTGGGTTCGGTGAAGCCATGACAATAACAAGGAAGTTGTTGATGCTTTTAAAGCCCTAGTCTGCTAAGAGCGAGCAGCACCCATAGCCACGTCACTAGAAGCCGCTGTTAGGAAGAAATAAAGGATTTAATTGGGAAGGCAAGTACCGGAGGAGCTGGGAGGCGGGCAGAAAGCGTCTTTGCTGCAGGAGCCTCCTTTATCCAGGTAACAGCATGTGCTTCCAAATAAGATAAGCTAAAGCAGAAATGCCATCAATCCAGCAGCAAAATTCAAGTGATACGGGTCAATGCAATAGAACTTCAAAACGTCTTTGCCGCTGCGAAAAAAGTGGTCCACGCCTTGATTGCTTCACTTTTTGCCGATTTTGGCTTGATTTTGGAGCCAAAGCACGGAATGCTAGATAACTTACTACTTCCATAAAGACGATCATTGGCATGCCTTCCCATATTCTTGCGTGTCCGGAAACAGCCGAAACGCACGTTGTGGGTGCTGAAGGTGGCCTCAAATATTTTGGCTGTAGACCAAGACGTCGTCCATATAAAGTCGCATCCGTGCCTACTCGATACGGCTCATAACAGTCTCGAGTAACTCCCCTTTGCACTGATCTGGGGTATTAACAAATCCAAAGTACTATAGGCACACTCAAATTTGCTGTTGCCAGTGTGCGACGCCGTCTCTTATTGTCAGGGCGAATAGGGCGTGGGGAAAAATCGTGCCTCGTCTCTGCTTTCAAGTAAATTGCTGAGTCGGGTAGGTTTTCAAGTAACGCGTAAAGATGGAGCATCAAAGAATTTTTTACTTCTTTGTTCTCGTGTTCAAGATCTAAAAGGTACTGTGCTTGCACCATCCTGTGCCCCTTTTCGACATCAACACCGAGTTACGCCCCAAAGCACTGATCTAGTACCGCACTTTTCACTTGGTCAACAGCTTATAGCTTCCTTCTTATTCTCTGCTGCCTGCTACGAGCTCCGATACCGTGAAACATCGCATCCGGAGGGCCCGGGGAGTAGCTCAATACGGTGTGCTGGACGATCAGCAGGTAGCCAGCCTGCTGGCAGGGGGTCATAATTTAATACATTTCTAGAATCCTTGACACTTGCTCAGTTCTGAAGTTTCTTGGCTGACCCTTTGATCAAAATCCACAGTAAAGGACAAGTTACAGTGTCAAATGTCGAAATGCATGCTGACAACCGCCTTCTCTCACTGCACTAATGAACCGACCTCCTGATGACTCTGCCAACCTTTTTGAGCTCTCGAAGCCACTCTGACATTATGGGTAAAATGAACAATGTTAAGGGGACCCGCAGATGCTTCCTCCCAGCGCCTCTTAGCAGACCAACCCCCAGAGTGCGCAGCTGTGACGGCATTCGCACCCTCCATTGGGTTATTTGAGGCAAACTTAGGATGATGTCCTTCTCCACAGGTCCAGCATACAAGGCAAAAACCATGCTGATAAGGCCAAATCCAAATCCGAAGCCCTCTTAGGCTGCCGTAGCCTTGCCAGTCCATGCGCTCTGCCATCTCTCAGTATATCTGAGCTTTTAAGACAACGCCAACGAGTGAACAGGCTGAATACGACTCTCTGCTGCCTCCTCTAACAACATATCCACTTCGAATTCTGTGGCAAGTAAGTCTAGAAAATCTCGACTAGAAGTGTGTGCTTCTCTGAGCTTCGAGTTGACCCGTGGCTGGTCCCCAACCAGCGCTATATCTTGTGGAGTCCCCTTAAACACGCCACAGCCTGCTTGGGGGCTCTTCGTTTCCCTGCTGCGCCATCTTGCGTTCACAGCAGCTTGTTCCCATTGCCGAGCCCGTTATTAGAGTGTTTCTTGGTTTTCTACATTCCCTTTGTATAATCCAAATTGCCACAATAGAAATATTCGTGCTCTAGGGGGCTGTCTGGAGTTGCTTTACGAGGGCACATTCTTCTTAAATGCTCATTCATTGTTATACTTTGATTGTGGGCTAGGGCGGGTTGACAAGCTACAGCATTCATGATTTCTGAGCTTTAGAAAAGCTCTTTCTTCAGCTGAGGGCACAGGCGACTGGCTCGCCTGCTCCTAAAAGTAGAGTATTCCACCATTTGCAGACGCTCCGCCGCTAGATGGCCAAACTGCTTAGTGGCAAATATTCCTAGGAATGTCCATGCCTGACGGGACACTTCGGGTAGAAATGTGATAGGCCAGTGAAAAAACAGCTGTTTGTCTACTTCGTGGCTTTTTTGAAACCCGGAATCTCTAGCGTGTGAGGCGAGCGTCAAAGCCACTGGACCATCCCTAGTGGCATATTTCTCGACATACTGACCTATCATACCCATTTTTAGATTCCCCACTTCAGCTATTTTAAATCTCTCAAATCTTGCTGCTGGGCCATACTATACTCTGAAAAAACCGATGAATCCAGGCTTATAAGAAGGATTGATATAGTGTAATTCCTACAGTAAAAGACTTTTCCTACACACCGAAAAACAAGTCAAGCCCTTTTCCATTCAATAATCATGACTCGAAATTCACTGGTTCCTCTTCATATGGAGATACACAAAGGGGTTCATCTTCAGCTGGCCTGTAAAACCGTTAAGTGCTTGCCCATCCTTATGGTCGTCACACTATTCTGGTTTGCATGACATCGGTGCATTCAACAACATTTGATGAGCTGGCAAATCACGCCCTTCCCCCAGCTGTGAACCAAGTGCGTCCGCGTTACCTTGTATGCCGGTTTCTGCCGCCCTGACAGGTGTTGTGCTACTGTCAACTTCCACCCCCAGCAGGGTGCTTTTTCCAGAATGTTCCCATAAACAATTCAAACAGTAAATACTGATACCTTGAACGCAACCAGAGAACTGCTGTAGGGTAACTAGACATTTAATTGCATCCACAGCCAGTTGACGGGAGGGGAACAGGTGCATCGTATCATGCGGTGCTACCAAGGATAAAGCTCCGTCTAAGGTCTCCCTGGGGAGAATCATATTGTAGAGTAAATTAGAACTTTGGTAAAAGTATTCAGTGCTTTTCCATAAACGCTTCCTTTTTTGTCTGCTTGGGCTCCTCAGGACTCTGAAACGAGAGGGGAAGAGACCGATAGGCACCGCTTAGCTACAATTTCAAGACATGCTGAGCATTCAGGGCAAGTTGTACCTTTCGTGTAGTGCACATGCAGGCAACTCTGCAATAAATGAGGTATACGAACGGATAAACCAATTAGTCAAGTGTTTGCCAATTCTTAATCAAATATAACTGTGCAGAAGAAAATATCCAAGTACAGCGCAGTCCGCTACAATTTAGCGTTGCGCTTTACGCCTGGGCGTGACCTCGGCAACTTACTTGGCATCAATTGTGCTCTTTTTACCGAGCATCAGCCCCATAGAAGAGACCACGGATTATGTAATACGCATATTATGCTGGAGACAGTGGAGGTACAGTAAAAATTATCAACGCGGAAGCACTCAAGCTGTTGTCTTTCAAGGAAACAATTAGAGCACGCTGCGCACAAGAGACCCGTCGGACGAGTAAAGGACAAGGAAATGTGGCAAAGGAGTTTTCGTACTATAAGCAGACCGGCCGAACCGAATTTCAAAAGTAGAAGAAGCGGCCCCTCACACTGCACAGCTGCTGTGCTGCTCTGCATGCATGGGAGGCTCTGGGGTCCAACCCGTCGTGTTCCCTGTGTTGTTTGACTGTCCTGTGTAATTCCTCATCTGTTATTTGGTGAACTAACGCACAGAGATTTCCAAACAGGCAAAGAGGCGCTGCAGCAGCAGCAGCAGCGGGAGCAGCACGACCGACTCCACCCGTGGCTCGAGGGTTCTCAGCTGTCTTTTACAGTGTCCTGGATCGTTCGGCTGTCCGTCGATAAACTCATACTCTTGTCTCCTAGTTGAATCTCGTGAAGCCTGGGCTAAAAGCGCATCAGCGAGCCACAAGACAGCCCACCCTGGAACCAAAACGGCGAAATAGGGCAGGGAAACAGCACCCATACCTTCCATAACGCGCACAAAAAATGAGCTATGACAGGGCGATCACGGTTTTCTCCCCAGATGGGCACCTTCTGCAGGTCAATCGCAGCGCACGTGATGAGTGGGAAGCAATCCGGCGTTCCATGCAGAACGGGCTGACACCACCACTGGCTGTGGCAGTACAGTGCCAACAAAACCTGAATTTAGCACCGAGGTCTCTAGTTGTGTGTCTGGGGAGCCTGTGGGGGCAAAGGGAGCTGCACTGGAGATCTAGCGTGTCTACGCTTGTCTCCGTTTGCTTAGGTGGAGTACGCTATAGAAGCGGTCAGGCGTGGGGGTTGCGTTGTCGGAGTCAGAGGGAAGGACGTCGTGGTGCTTGCCGTCGAAAGAAAGGCAGCAGCAAAGCTCCAAGAGCCCAGGTGAGTAAAGTATGTCCCTCTAGCTGAACACGCGGTCGGATGCCTCCTCAACGCCCGCGGTTGCATGCATGCTGAAGCGCAGAAACGTAGAGCTCAGCGGGGGTATTGCGTGTCGCCCACCACAGTGTGCGGATCTCCATGAGCTCTTAAAGCAGACGTCGTGCCTCAGATTCAGAATCCTCCCCATGGCTGGTTTGGAGGTGTCGGTGTTGTCAGGACAAGCCGAAAGTTGCTGCTGCTAGATGATGGTCTGTGTTGCGCCTTTGCTGGACTCCATGCCGACGCGCGTGTGCTGATGGCGAAGGCGCAGCTGGAGGGGCAGAGTTACAGACTCAACAATGACACACCTCCCACAGCAGACTACATGGCGAGGTATATTGCACAGGTCCAGCAGGTGAGCGAGCAGCGGCCTTAGATTTAGCGGCGCATCTCCTCCCGTTTCTCCTTCTGTTCAAATAGTGCTGAACGACGCGGCCTGCAAGCCCGCTCATCCGTTTTTCATAATTTTTGCTAGTGCATCTGTACTCCCTGAGTTCTGTACATGTACCTGCAAGTAGGGGGTCGATGCGCAGGCGTGCTGTGCGCCTCTTCCTGCGTATGCGCTGGAAGACCTCCCATTCCTCTCTTTCTTTCATTTTTCGTGCTGCTTCGTTCTTTCGCGGATAGCCTCGATCATCTGTTGCCTCTAGTGTTCAGGCCACCAGACAGCAACCGCTATGTACAGTCCTCAATGCCTCAAGAGACCGTTGCCGTTTTCGAATGCTGTCTTCCTCTGCCTTCACAAGCGATCTTAGACATCAAAAGTATTCATTTTTTCGTCGTGAGAGTTCACCTCCACCGTCTAGTGGTCTTATCTGTAGTCAGATGACATCCTCTGGCTGTGGCGGTGGTCTAGGCGTCCGTCTGCAGGGCTTTTCTTCATCGTGTACTGGCTCCTCGTCTATCCGTCGCGTAGCTTCATTCTCACGCATGCTTGCCATGATTCTTTGTTCTGCGTAATTTGGATTGCCATCTCTACAGAAGTACACCCACAGAGGCGGTGTGCGACCCTTTGGCCTTTCCACGCTTCTGGCCGGTGTCGATGGCGAAGGCCGCGTGGCACTTTACCAGACGGAGCCATCGGGCATCTTCGCTCGCTGGAAGGCGCAGGCACTTGGGAAGAACTCGAAGGTAGATCTCTACATAAAGGATGGAGTGATTTCAGTTGCAGGCTGCCCGACTGAGAGCTCAAAGAGCGTGGTCAACGTTTTGTGCTTTTCTGCTCGAAGTAGCGCAGGTTGAGCCGTGATAGCGATAGCGAACGTTGCTTGGGGTCCAATATATATATATATATATATATATATATATATATATATATTTGCACATTTGAATCGTATGTGGACGTGGGTGTGCACCCCAGACCGTGCAGGAGTATTTGGAAAAAAATTACAAGGAGGATCTGGGGGAGGAGGAGACTCTTTCCTTGGCCTTCAGCGCCTTGACTGAAGTTGTAGAGGCTGGCAAGAAGAACCTTGAGTGCGCCATCATCCGCAAGGACCGCGTGGAGTTCCTTCCGGAGGAACGCATTGCCGTGGAGGTATGGCTATTAGAAAGTTCGACTGACCCTGCTCTCAAAACCACGGTATCGCGCTGTACGCCTTCATAGATTCATGTGAAAGCATCTACTCTGGGAGAGCTAAAGGCTACCAGCACACGTTGCGCCGAGATGCTGCTTCTAAGCTCAAGAGTTCCTTTCCCTAGCAAAGAGGACAAATCAACGCACCTACGAGTTGCCTCCCCTGCCGACTCTCGTTTCTAGTTTCAAAGTCTTTTCATGAAAACTAGTGTCTACTGCATGTTACCCGTTGGACGTTGAATGCGTGAGACGGCGAGCTGCTCTTGGCTTTGCCCCTGCTCCCTGTGGTTGCTTTCTTCCTCTCCCTCCACGTGTAGAGGTTGGAGGCCTTTTCAGCTTGGACAGGTATTCTTTATCCCCGCCATATTTCCTGTTGTGTACTTCAATTGCAGGTCGAGCGCCTTGAGGCACAAAAGAAGTCAGTGGAAGAGGAAGTCAGGCCCGCTGACAGCTAAAGAAGTCCCTTCTCCAAAGCAGTCGCCTGTGCCAAAGCGGGGACGAGTCGTCAGTTTTCGTGCTTGCCTTTCTCGGAGAGGCCCTCTTTGCTGCACAACAGCTACTGGTGTACTCAGTAACACTGCTTTTGGAGGTGTGCTTGTACCGCCTTGCGACGCTGTCTGCATATATATATATATTTATGTGCTTCTAGAGTTTGTGCGCGTACAGAGGAAGAATATATTTATATCCGCATATGTAGCTATGAGACGCGCATCCGAAGGGTAGAACAGAAGTCTATATTGCCAGAGACTCAGGCTGCCCTTGTACACACAGTACAGTCAGTCATCTGCGCTCCCCAGACTAATCTGCACATCCCACTTTAGCTCTTGCCGAAATTCACTGTCAGCTTGTTCTCCCCGTAGATATAAAATTGAGCAATGCTCATAATAAACGAGGCAGACACCGAGAGCTAGATGTTCACGGTTCCATGGACAACGAGCAGTATACAAGCAGGTGGTGCTGCGGGCACGAGAATGTGGATGTCTGATGACGCTAGAAGCCACTAAGTCTGTCCATAGGCGCTCCCGCAATTCTCATCAGAATATCTCCTACCTGTTGCATTAGGACTTTGTTCCTAAGGATTTTAGGTGGGCCGGCAGAAAGCGTCAACCCCATTGAAGGAACTCACAGCCAGCACCAACAGAGGGAAGAGGCTTCAGTATCCGCATGCAGCGCAGACCAGTATCACATGAGCGCGAAGGAAAGCATTATGTGGGGCTCCAGCAAGGCACAGAAGTGCCTAGCCAAAGCATCCCTACGTGTTTCTTGTAATGAAGACAGAAAAGCTTAGAGTTTTCTCTTCAGAGAGAGAAAGAGGCAGGCAAAAAGCGTGATACACCCCGGTTGTACGGTGTACCGTCACTGCATTATGAGGGCCTGACCGCATGGCCAACAGATAGGCTCTTTGAGCCTCCGGCTGTATCTTCCTTCTACACATCGTCGTGTCTGCCTGAAATAACCGACAGTCACTCCCAGCCTGGCAGCGTCCTGAAGGCCACAGGCACAGCGGAGCGAGTGGGGTGACGCCAAGTGATGATGAACATTCTTTGTGGCGTTCCTGAGTGGGCAGCACGTGTGCTGGGATTCCAGGGCCCAAGCGAACGCCGTTCAAGGGGCCCTGCGAAGGGTTCGAGCGACGCGCAAAGTGAGGTGTGGGGCCCTTGGGGCCCTCCTGCCACCCCGTGCCACAATAGTGCACTCCCTCTCTTAGTGGTTCTGAGGGAACCATGAAGAGGGGAAGATGACGCCTCCTGCTGCACCGAGTTTGTCTACAATGTGCTGTGCAGTCATGGATCGGCCAAAGTGCCTGAAGGCCAAAGAGGCGGCCTCCCTCGTGACGACGCTAGCTGCATGCATGAGGAGCAGCGGCGGCAGGGCTGCAGCTTTGTCTTTGAATGGCAGGGCGAACCCTTGTTTCTCTAGTTCCCGTTCTAACTCTACTGCGCCGCCACTAGATCTCGCTCTCTCGACCCACACAAAGGCTTGCGCCAATACTCCACAGAGAACATCCCCCTGTCCCCCCGACCTCTTAGGGGCCCCAAAGTGCCTAGGGCTTAAGCCGGAAACCGCTAGTAACACGCACTCGCACTCGCCACCACTCTCGGAAGAGCGCTGCATCTCGTAAGCTCCCAGAACATCTACTCTGCCCTTCCCGAACACGCATGGGCCCCTCAACAAGGCGGCCGCCTCATACACGCGCTGTACTGCCGGCTCACACCGGATAGACTCAGGCAACAAACCATGCGGAGGAACTGCGGAGGAATCTCCCTGAGGCGCGTTGCCTCCAGAGGCCCCATGGAGGCCCTCCTTCTGCCGTTTGCGTAGTGCCCGCAGCAACAGCTCCAACTCGTGGGCGTTCGGAGTAAGAAGTGCTCTTGAGTAGCCAGCAAGCAAAGACAGATAGTGCTCGTTCCCGGGAATACACAGTATGCGAATCATATCCGCATCCAGTACCTGGAGCAGCAATATCAGCACCACATACAAACACATACATGCACACACACATACATACATACACACGTACATCTATACACACACATGCCTATCGTCTTGTAATGCCCTTGTGAGATACCCTCTACCTACAGCCGTTACGGGATTGCCTCGCACACAAGCCCATGATGCGAAATGCTAGTAAGACTGGAGTGTAAAGCCACGGCTCACAATAGGTTTTTGGAGTGCCATGGCAAGACGCAAAAGCATGATGGAGGCCCGTTGAGTAGCAGCCGCAGCAGCTTCTGCTTCTCGGATTGCTGCACTGGTCAGAGCATGATTCATAGCTGCAGGATTTGTCGGATCTGCTGCTGCCGCCGTTTGCTCAGGTGCAGCAGACGGAGGCGCAGAACTGCCTCGATCGCCTCTGTGCATGTCTATCGCGTCCTTTATGAAATGCGACAGACGGCCTAAGCTCCCAGTCTTCTCTAAGGACTTGCGCTGCTGGTGCTGTTGCTGCGAACCTTGATGAAGCCGCGCATCTTGCTCTTCGTGGGGACGGTAGTTTGTGCTTCCCCCCAGACCGGGGCCAAGTACAATGACGTCTGCCTTGGAAAGCAGCGGTTCTGCCTGCGGCAAGGAGTTCACGGCTCTGCTGTTACTGCCAATAAACAGCTCGTGTCGCGGTGTGAGGCGCGTGAGGAGTTACGGTGACAAACGGTGGAGAACGTTCATTAGCAGACCGGAAAAAACAGTCCTTCAGATCGCTACGTCAGTGCTAAATTAAAGGACCCTGCAAGCAGCATGAGCTGCAACACTAGGACGTCAAAGGGCTTAGGCTGACATGAATCTTTAGGCGGGCGAGCTCCATCTGCTGGTCAGCGAGAGATCCGAACTCCTTTGCACTGCCATGCATCTCTGCTGAGTAGTGGCATGGCAGAATCTGCAGCAGCGGCAGCAATGCGTACAGGAGACACAGCGGCTCCACCTCGCGTGACTTGAGCGCCTGAAAGGAGCTTTTCCTGCTGCTCGCATACTCCTGCACTAGAATGATCACCAAGGCTGGTGTCGTTGCGTCCCTCTCTGCTCCTGCAGCCATTGCAGGCGCTACTCGCTGTTGCAGAACTACGCGCTGCTACACTTACCGGGTAGACGAGGAGCTCAGGACTATACGACTTGATAGCTACGGCAGCCGAAGGGGTTGTTATAACACCCGCAAGGTCGGCACCCTGCAAAACACACGCCTAAAACACCCTTCCCTGAACCCTTGACTCCTGCGCAACATCTTGAGTTCTGAGCACAAGCCAATTTATCTGCCACTCTTTTTGTTGCACCTGGATCAGGCACCACACAGCTCTCTATTTTCCAGTGGTACCACTGCAGTTACATTTCGGAAAACGCGTCCTCCACACCCCATACAGCGCTCTGTAGAAACCCATGGACACCCTTAACAACCCTGTATGATCCTTGGCGTGAAGCTAACCATTCTCAACGCCGCAGTAGCTGCAAAGAAAGGGGCCCCAGTGAAAGTAGCGCATCCTCCAATGACGAAAACTTTGCCTGAAGTGCACAGCCGAGAAATGTGGCTCAAGAGAGAAGCTTGCTAAAACGCTGGATGCACGGGAGGCTAGCAAGCAAGCTGTCCTCCTTGATTCGTGCAGCAAGCTGTCCTCCTTGATTTAAGGAGTGGATATTGCAAGCACAACGAAAAGAGAACAGCGAACTGCAATATGGCAGGAGATGCAGTAGTAGGGGCCCTAGCACCGAAAGCACGCAAACGACAGTCAGAAAAAGAGCAGTTCAACAAGAAAATGGAAAAAAAATTCACACCCCTCTTTCAAACGCGGCTGTAATCGTTTTCTTGCTGACCATATCTGCCCTTATATTCCTTGAAATCTAGAGAAGGCAGGTAAGTTCTCTCCACCGCTGCAAGCAAGCACACACGCCCATAAACTTCGGAGCTCCTTGCCCTGAGCGTCTAGCCTTAGGCAAAAAGCCTAAATCGCAAAGGCTAGTGATGGTGGGAACGACCTCAACCGCATGCGAGTGTCTGCCTCTGCCTTTGCATCGGCCTGTTGCTGCCTAAACCCCCGCATCCCCTATTGTTTCAGATGTTTTTATTCCGTTTGTGCACCTCGAAGCCAACATTCCGTCACTTTTTCCGCTGTCTCTACATCGGCGCGAGTGATCTTCAGGAGCGGACGGGCTTTCTGATTATGCTCGACACCTCCGATCGACTGGCCGCAGCTGCCGGAGTTGCGTGCAGCATCTTGCCTAGTCGCAGAGTGGTGCTCCATCCCCCCTGCTGCAGTGGCGAGACGGCGAAGGATTGTGGAGCAGCCTGCTAAGATTTGCTGCTTGCACGGCTGTTGCGGTAATGAAAATACTGGTGGAAAATTGCACAGCCTGGCAACGGAGAGTCTGCAAAGGCACCCAGCCACCCTTGAGGGCCATAGACATAGCAGCAGCAGTTTCAGCAATAGCAGAGAAGCATATGAAGTTGAACGTTTCCCAAAACACGAGTATATAGTGCGTGGTGTTGTTACTGTTACCCCGTCTCTGCTGTGGCGCATGCTGCCATTGCCGCCGCGGGTTGCTACAACCAAACCAACTGGAAATACAAGCGCCTTGGTCCAGATCTGCACACACTGGTTTCCTCCTTATAAGATTACAGAAGAATCAGTACACACTTATGATCAAGACACCCGGCATACCGGAAGTAGCAAACAATAGCAGCGCAACACAGCGGGGAAGGGGTATGTGTGCATGCCCACACACAAGGGTCTTGCTCCTAGCTCTTGCCTTCTTGCTTGATGTTCATGTTAGATGGGAAAAGCACCGGAATAATGAACTTTTTAATGCTGGTGCGCAACCTCGTAGCTGCAGCAGCAACAGCCGCAGCAACAGCAGCTGTGTTCCTGGGGGAGGCATGTAGACACCGGCGCTCGGGGTTGCAAAAGAGTACCGGCAACAGCGGCAGGAGCACAAGAATGGCAATATCCCCCATAGAAGATAGTAATGCTGAAGAGAAAAGTTCCTTTTAATGCCAAATTTCGTGTCGTTTCTCGAGATTCTCTTGACCGCTTCCTTCCTTGAAAAGCTCATAGGTGCCCTGTCCAATGGTGCAGGAACAATCACAGCACCGCTATCAGCATCCCTGGCGTGTAACACGCTAGCATATCGACGCCTGTATTTGTTAATCACTAAGTCATGCTTTTTAAACGGATGCAGCAACTCGTCAGTTAGTTGTAGCAGCGGTGGCAGCAGCAGCAAAAGTACAACATTGAAACAGTCGATTCCAGCCTCACAAGGCTGTGTCGTTTGTTCACGGTGTTCGCCTCGTCTGCTTCCGCGCTTCTCACTTTCTAGGCATCGGCAGCATCACGGCAAGTTCCAGCTGTAGCAGCAGCAATACCATGGCTGCCGCAGCTGTGGTGGGGGGCCCCTCCCTGGGGCCCCCCCAGGCGGTCAAGGCAGCCGTTACCTTCTTGGGGTTTAATAGTGATTCGTCTTGCCTCCTCGTTGGCACAACGGCTGGATTCCTTGTTTGGAGCGTTAGACCTCTTAGGTGTCTGCACACGTGTGTTTCCGGTCCGGTGACACTGGTGGAGATGCTGCTCAACACCAGTCTCGTTGCAACAGTGGGTAGGCATCCCCCATGAGTGCTGGCGCTACTGCTGCTGATTCTGTACTTGCTGCTGAATTTGCTGTCGTCACATCCCCGTTGCATGCAGCCACCCGCCCGTCCTCCTCCCCCCTTGACTGCGCATTTTAATTCTTTTCTTGAAACACTTACCAACTCTGCCATGACTGGTGTACTGCTCATTTTTCAACTACATGCCATTCGCTTCGGTAGCCGTGTCTGTAGGAGCTCCCGTGAAAGCATTTCAGCAGCACGATTTGTTGGTGCTTCTGCTGGAGATGTTCAACGCGCACAGCTCTTCTCTTCTTTCTTTCGGCGTGTCTCTGCAGGCAGCGGAATGAGCAGTACCAGCAGCCGCCGCATGCTGTATTTGTACAACTGTAGACCATCTTCGCAGGCCTCCACGAGCGCCACTAGAAGCGCTGGGGGAAGCTGCGACGGGTGTAACAGCTTGATTGCGTGTTTAGTTCAGCCTTACGCTATCTGTGGCGTAAAGCTGACACCTGAGCGTTTGGTCGTGTTGAATGAAAAATACATCTCCATTTTCGTCTTGCAGTCTCTTGTACTGCTGCGCACGCTGGAGAGGCACCCGAATTTACCGCAGCAGCCTCGTGGTGGCTTCCTGTTCGGTGCCGGCACTGCTGCAGTTGCAGCAGCAGCCTCTGCTGCAGTAGCTGCCTCTGCTGCAGCAGCAGCCTCCGCTACGGCAGACTCAGTGTCTCAAGAGGCGTGGCTTTCTGCTCCAGCAGATGACGGAAGGGCGCATGCAGCAGCAGCTGCAGCGGATGCAACACAAGCTGTCTTGGCAGTCGGGTGGAGCCCGCAACACAGCTACCTCGCTCTCCCCGCAGGCCCTCACCAGTAGGCGCTGCATGCTACGCGATGCTGCTTTGGCCTCTATGCCTTGTATTTTGCTGCTGGTTGCTTTTTCTGGTGCACGTGAGGCTGCTGCTCTGTTGCTGCAGACTTTGTTACCGCTGTCTGCTTGGTCTGTTGTGGCTGCTGTGGCAAGTTCGCCACTGAGATGCTCGCATCCGAATGCAGTGGCTGCCTTAATTCGTAAACGCGGCTGCAAACGAGAGATGCACTGCGAGTCTGCTGCGCGTATATGCATGCGGCATGCGAAAGAAGCCACAAAGCCGACTATTCAGCAGGAGTGGCATTTCGCCCAGGGGGCCCCCTGGGCGAAATGCCACTCCTGCTGAAGTTGGAGCTTCTGATGGTGGCGCCGACTTTTGCAGCCGCATTTCGCTAACATCGCCGTCCTTCTTTTGAGGACCGGCTGAACAGAGACACGCCGCAAGGCTACGCTGCATGAAGTGCGTATCCTTCTCAGGAGCGAAGGATCTGGAATTCTCTGTCTCTTCGACTTGATGCGTGGCCGCTTCTGCTCGTGGCGTTGCACACACGAAGATCCTTTGAGGGCGATTGTCTTTTCCGCGTCTGCCTCTCTCGTTGCTGCAATCTCAGCGAAAGTCAGTCCGACGCTGAGCAGCAGCATGCCTCAAGTTGTGCTGTTGCTGCCAGGATTCGTTGCTGCCCCTCTGCTGTGCCTGCACTGGTGGTAGTTCTGCAATCTTCTTACGCGCTGTGCTAACTGGGGGCCCCCCACCCCTCCGCTGCAGCAAAGATCGATCCGTACATCCCCTGTGAGAAAAACGCAGAGACGGTGTGGCAGAGAAGCAGCAGCAGCAGCAGCAGCAGCACTCCCAGACAGGGGGGCCCCGGTTTGGAGAGTGCATGCGCGTTTTTTTCTAGGGGGCCCCTCTGGGGGCCCCACCCATGGTCGAGAAAGGTTCTTCACTGGCAGAAAAAACACGGAACGATGCACAGACACAGGCATTAGGGGGAGGGAGGCACATGGGGATAGGGAGAGTTCGAAGGCAGGCTGATGGATTGGAATGGATAGCACATGGGGCCTTATGCCGCACATGTGGATTTGCACAATTTGGCTTATGTGTGTGTGTCGTAGGGGTCAGTGGTTCGCATCTTTACGGTTCCTTCTCTAGAATACACTATTGCGCTTCAGCTGCACAATCCGCAAATGCTTCTGCAGTCGACACCAGCGCCTTCGATGGCTCCCGCCGACCGCAACAGCAGCAGCAGCAGAGCAGCAGTAACACGACTGCTTGGTGCTGCTGTGCCAGCCGATGAGTCTAGAGGTCGTCCTGTCAAAAAGGAAGTGCCCTTGGTAGCAGAACAGGGAGCCTTGAAGGCGTCAGAGCACGCTGTTGCAGACGCAGCCAGCGTACTTAAACACGCGGCAGGAGCAGAGACGCATGTGGAAGACGTAGTGCTGCAGCAGCAGGGCAAGGAAGGGCAGCTACAGCAGGGGTGTGCCAGGCAGAAGACTGCTGGTAGTAGAGATGGAACGATCGGAAAAGCGAGGGATTCCTGCAGTGCAGCGACTGCAGCGACTGCAGCTGCTGCCTCTTCGCCAGCTCCCGAGACAGTGGCTTTTCCCGCAGACAGCGGTCCACCAGCTGCTGAAGGTGTTGACGTTTCTCTTGAGAAGCGTCGTGAAGACTCCCTTCTGCCGGCAGACTCTGCAGAAGCGAGCAGCAGCAGCAGCGACGATCGGAGAGGCAGGCGAGGCAGAGCGCACAGGAAGAAGCAAAAGCAGATGCTGCAGCGACAGCAGCAAAAGCAGCACGACCAGGAACGCGATGATCAAGAACCTTTATCCCTACGAATCGATAAGACGCCAGCACGTCTGCCAAAGGCCGGAGAAGTGTCACCCCCTGCAAAGGGCAGAAGTCACAATAGCCCAGCGGATCGCTGCACAGCCACAAGCGCCGAATCCGCAGTGTGCAGCGACAGCAAAGGGAGCTTCAGCGGCTGCAGCAGCGACAAAAACAGCGCTGATGAGGAGCAACTTGAGAAGGCCAGCTTTAGCAGCAAGGACGCTGGCACAGAGGCGAGCAGCAAGGTGGCAGCAGGCAGAGCAGCGAAGGCTGTAGCAAGATCTGGGAGTGCTGACAGGGGGTCGACTTCTTCGCTGCCAACTTCGAACTCAAGGCTGTTATCAAGGAAGAATCGAAAACAGACCGTCCAGGAGGCGTCACAACAGGAGCAGCAGATTAAGCCACAGAGGCAGCGCAAGTCGTCCCCTCAGAAGCGGCACGCTCAGACGCTTCCTGCTGCTTACGTTACATGCGCTTTAACACCGCACCAGCCGAGCAATGAATCCGCCTTCGGAAATGGCGAGCATGAAAGGCAGCAGCAATCAGGGAAGGAGGAAAGCCAGCAAGGGCGTTCAGAAGCCTTGCAGACGAAAGAAATTCCGAGCCTCACGGATCAAGAGTCTGCAGAAAAACCCGTTGCAGCCAACGGGGCAGAGTCTGTGAAGTTTGCAGAAGTGTCTTTCTCCTCAGCGTCGATGCCAAGACGCAAAAAGCAGCAGAAGAGCAGTGGGAAGTCGCCAGCCTTGCGTGTCGATGCCGTCAATTTCGCAGGAGTCGCGCTTGCCCAATCGGCTTCTGCCAGGAGAAGCAGGAGCACGTGTACTACGACAGCAGCAGCAGCAGCTGCAGCGCCGCAAGCGAAATTTCTCTCTGCCGCAACAGCTGCTGCGTCTGCCGCGTTGCAGAACCCTCAGTATCCGCAGGAAGCGACATTCGTAGGATCGCTTTTCTCCCGTCAAGAAGAGAAGGCTGCACAGGGTGGGTTGGCATCGCGCTCAACCTCTCCAGCCGCCGCTGACGCAGCTCCTGCGGGAAGGGGGGGAAGAAGGAAGGCCTCTCTTGTCGGCAACAAAGAAATAGTCGATGAGGGATGGGTGTTGTGCGGCAGCACTCCCCGATTAGACGGCGACTTCGGAGGCTCCAAGTTCACAGAGTTGCAAGAGGAGCCGCGGGGGGGGTCAGAAGAAGAGAGGCTAAGCAGCTGCGACAGCGCGAATCTCTCAGCAGAATGGAGTTGCGTAGAGGCTTCCGGAGGCTTGTCTCCCTCCGGCTACAGCAGCCCCCCCAGCCGCAACAGCAGTGGCCATGTTGGCGTCAGAGCTGGCAGAGACACCTCGCATGCACTTTTCCTTCCCGACCAGCCCTTGCCTTCGCCAGCAAGCGCTGCCGGCTGTGCTGAGAAATCTCATCTGCTTGGTGCTCGAGCCGAAGAAAGACACACCACGCAGGTGCTCGGGGGAGGTTCTCTCACAGGCGCCTGCTGCGGGGGATTTTTGCGTGACTCTCGCGATACTCCAACTGAAGAAGCCGCGCAGCAGCGGCTGCTACCAGCCCCTGCGTGGCTTGCCGGCTCCCATCACGGCGGCACCAGCGGAAGCGCAGCCAGAGCAGACACTGACCACCGAAAGCATCTCCAAAAGGAGGCTCAGCATTGCGACACAGACGCAACCGACGGACAGAGAGGCACTCAACGAATCATCTTAACAGGAGAACCTGCAGCTGGGTTCAGTACAGGCACAACTGACGCGCTCCGACAAGTCTCTCTCGCCTTCTCTGGCTGTAGTCGTATTTTTACTGCTTCGCGTACGTCTGAAGTTCCCGCTGCCCTGCAACCCCTTCCTTCATGCTGCTGCGTTGGTGCTGCCTGCCGACTTGACATGCATCGGCGCGGGAGGGGGGGAGGAGTTTCGGGGGGAAGCTGCAGGATCCACTACCTCAATGTGCATTTGATCAATTCAACAGCTGCTCTTGTTTCTATAAAATGCCTTCCCAGCGCGTGAGCAGCTCTGTGAACGGTCTTTTTTCTCCCTGCCTCCTCTTTAACAAGGGGGCCTCTTCACGACAGCCCTTCGCTTGCTGTCTAGGCTGTGTGTATGCTCGCTCTCTGCTCTTTGTGCATGCTCGCTCTCTGCTCTTTGTGTGTGCTCCTTCTGCCGCTGCAGGGGGGGATGGCCTAGTGTTTGTCTTCCATCTCCCATGGACGCCAGGAGACTTGCAGAGGCACTCCAAATGCGGCGTGGCAGTGCAGCAGCAGCTCCTGCGCTCCTTGCAGCAAGGCGGTGCAAGGGACCGAACTGCAACGGACGGTTCCATTGCATTGTCAGACACACCGAGCCGTGCTGTAGCACAAACTGCAGCATGCGCCTCTGCTTCTGCTGGGAAAACGCCTCTTGCGCGGCCAGGCGGAAGCAGCAAACTGTCGAGCATCACTGGGGTTGCCGCTGTAAGAAGAGAGGCACTCCCTGTATCTATTACTATAGAATGGCTAGCTCTATTACTATGGAATGGCTAGTTCTATTACTATTGATTGGCTAGTCCTATTACTACTGAATGGCTAGTTCTATTAAATTGGCTAGTCCTATTACTATTGATTGGCTAGTCCTATTAAATTGGCTAGTTCTATTACTATTGAATGGCTAGTTCTCTCGCGTCTGCGACTTTCGGCTTTCCTGGTTGTGACTTTAACACCTGCTTCTCCACGGAGTCTATGGATCGCATGCGCCGTTCTCCTGCATGGAGTGCTTCTCCTGCTGTTGTGTGTGTATGTGTGTGTGTATATATAAATATGCAGTCCGCCTTAGCCTCCGTGACATCGCTGCTTCTTCCTGCTTCCCTTAGCGAGAGGCTGATACATGGGCAAAGCTGTGCTTCCTGCATAGCACTCCCCTCAACAGCTGCAGGACGGTGAGATGCTGCCGCTTCACCACGTGGTGTGCACCGGAATAATACTCTTGAGCGACACAGCTGTACAGGGGAGCAGGGGACGAAATATGCATGCGTTCTTGGACACCTGATTTTTTTAAATGTATGCATGTGCCGCCGGGTTCCAAGCTCCGCTTACTTTGTGGATTTTAGTTGCGGCTTTTCACGACAGAATTCTATGAGCTGCTGGCAACCTACCCTCCCTTGTCCACATGATGCTAAGGGCGGTAAAATTATGACTTCTGCTGCTGCTCATGCTGAGGGGGATAATTCATATGATGGCGATGCTGTGTCTCAGTGTGAGCTGTGTTGCTTCTTCTGACCTTCTCGCGGGCGACAAAGTAGAAGTGAGCACAAAAGTGCAAAAAACGTCTCTCGGCGGGGGAGTTCGGTTGCCTTCGTCACAACGGGATAGCCTTGCCTCTTCTTTTCGCTATTTCGCTTCCCCGCTGACACCTGCGCTTTCCTTGCTTGAGAAAAGCCAGGGAGAAAGACCCCCTCTCTCGTGTGCTTGTCTGCGCTTTTAGGTTGTTGTGGGACTAAATAACGGCTTTGCTTACACGTACAGCTGTCAGCTCAATGCTTCAGGCCGATATCGGTGAGCTGGGGAAGGGGCAGCTGGGTGTGTAATTTCACGTCTACCGGCAGCAGCAGAAAGCTAAGGCGCAGCAGCCACTAATTCGTGCGAGATCGGCAAACCTTCGCTGCAAAAGCTCAGACGAAGGGCAGCTGAAGGTGTTCAATGCATTGCAACAATCCGCCTGGGGGTTGCTGTGCTGCCTTTGCCGCCTTTGTTACCTTCGCAACTGCCTCAGGCTGCGGGATGAGCAGATTCTGGAAACTCAGGGAGGGGAGAGCTGACTGCATGCACCTTGAAATGATTGTTTGCTCACCAACTAGGATGCGCTGGCAGGAGGTGTTGTCTAGACAGCACCTCCTGCCAGGGCAGCCGCCTGTAGAGTTAGCCACGGGGAAATGATTTTTGGACGTGTACGGACTGACACGTCGTGACGCCTTTAAATCAAGGCTACAGCAGCTGCAGCAACGAGAGAGGAGCAACGCAAGAGCAGGAGTTTCCGCCACAGGAGGGCATGCGCAATTCACCAGCTTTATTGTTTTGGCGCCGCTGCCTCAGGTAGCGGCGATCTGGAGGACTCTTCATTGCGCATGACACCGAGAGCTACCGCGTCAGTTACTTGTGTTTTTGGTTCGACTTTTATTGTGATGCAGGTATTTCTTGGCGCCTTTCCGGAAACTCCGAGCTCTGCACACCTCCGGATCGTAGAAACGGACGCTTGTGTCTGTCTCTTCTAGAGCGTCCTGACCCCATTAGAATTATTTTTCGAGCAGTCAAAAGGTGTAAGATGCCTACACATTGTAAACAATCTATCACGCCGCCTGCATTCTCACTCGCAAACAGCTGCTGCCGATGCTCCGCGTCGGTAGGGAACAAACACACGCAGGCGTCTTCTTGCTGGGACGCTTGTCGTGCCACATCCGCCGCGTACGGCAGCCAGAGTCACTGCGGTTCGCAGATGGGCGAGAGAGCACTGCTGCAAAAATCCAGCCACACATTAGATCTAACCCCGCATCAGACAAGGCGGCAGCTGTACATACAGTTTTTGTGGGATTGTTAGCCCATCAGCGCTAGAACTATCAGTGGCAGCTCAAAAGAGACACTGAGCGGGGGAAGGGGGGGTGGGAGGAGAGGAAATGTAACCGCGAGTTAACACGGTTTCTCTGCACTGCAGAGGCTTGGTAAGCCGGACGGCAGTACGGCCCCTAGCAGGCGACGCCCTCACTTGGCAAATGAGGCCCTTCTCTATCGGCAGGTGTATTGTTGAATGCGAGTCTGTGTGCATGTAACTGATGCCCTGTAGAGGGCTATCTGACTGACTGCCCTTCTCGCTTCGCTACAGTTCGTGAGAGGTCTAAGGAAAGAGAGACAGCCACTGAAAATACGGACGACCTTGGGCGGATGTCATTCGCGTGTCTGCTGTTGCACGCGCATTCCTCCAAATGGGGAATCAGATACAGCAGCACAACCACCACTGCCAAAGAAATGCGGGCAGTATGCACCCCAGCCGCGGCAGCAACCATTGGTGCATGCACCTTAACAGCCGAAGGCGCATGAGATGTGCCGAAAAAGAGAGGGCTACACACAGAGAGGCAGTCCCCTTTTCCTTCTTCAAGGAAGCCGAGAGACGCACACAGCTGCCAAAAAGCGCATAGCTTTTCGTCGTGCATTCCCTGGGTTATATATATATATATATATATATATATATATATATATATATATATATATATATATACTGCCCCGCCTGTGGTGGGGCGAACTGCCAGAAGATTCTGCCGCTAGTATTAATCCAGCTGCGCCACTGTTCACAAATAAAGCGCACTACGGGTGCATGCACTGTGTGCTGCAAGCACGCTGAAGTGTACCGCAAAAGCATAGTAAAGGCCACGACAGGCACCACGGTCGTCTCTACAAGGCCAAGCATAAGTTTACCTATTCCAGGGAGCACGCATACGCTGCTGTTGCTGCTGCTGCTGCCTTCGCCGACGCAGAACGCAACGAACGGAGAGCTGGACGCCGTTCACTTCTGCTGCTGCTGCTGCCAGCACTACCCAGACAATGCTTCTGCTGCTGCCTTGCAGCAGCAGAAACTGCTGCTGCTGCAACGGCAGACGCGCTGTCTCTGCTCTCCAAACTAACGTGCCTCCTTCCTGGGGACCGCTGCTGCTGCTGCTGCTGCTTCTGCTGCTGCTGCTGCGTCGTGTTGCTGCGAACGCCGCCTTCTGCAGACGACTCTGCACACACTCTGCGCCTTCGCGGCATGCAATCCGAATTCGCCGCAACAGCAGCCCTCGATGTTGGCGGGAGAACTTCCTGCAGCTCGTAGACGGAAGATCCACTGCTGCTGCTTCTGCAACTGCTGCTGCATCTGCTGCTCTCGGGAGTGGCGATGATGGCTTGCCGTCGACTTCGGCGCAACTCCCAGCAGGTAGAGGCAGAACTGGTGCCAGCATTTACGCCGCTGACAGCAGGGTGGGCGTTGTTATTCACGCTGCTTCTGCGCGTAAGAACGTGAGACGGAGTGCTAGCCGCTTCTTGCTGCTTTGACAACAACGCAACTTGTGCGCTGCTGCTGTCCAACAAGAGCACCTTGGTAGACATGGCTGCACTCCGGCTGGGAAGCAATCTGCGGCAGCTGCTACTCCCGCTGCATGTGCGACGTCGCGCTGCTGTGGCACTACAACCCTCGTCGGCATTTTCACTGCCTGAGCCGCTTGAGCCTGCTGCCGCTAAGAGGGGCCGCTTTCCGTTCGCCTGCTGCTGCTTCTGCTGCTGCTTCTGTTGTTGCTGTTGCTGCTGCTTCTGTTGTTGCTGTTGCTGCTGCTTCTGTTGTTGCTGTTGCTGCTGCTTCTGTTGTTGCTGTTGCTGCTGCTTCTGTTGTTGCTGTTGCTGCTGCTTCTGTTGCTGCTGCTTCTGTTGCGGATCTTGCTGCTGCTGTTGCTGCTGCTGCTTCTGTTGTTGCTTCTGTTGTTGCGGATCTTGCTGTTGTTGCTGCGACTTCTGTTGTTGCTGCTGTTGCTGCGACTTCTGTTGTTGCTGCTGTTGCTGCGGCTTCTGTTGTTGCTGCTGTTGTTGCGAATTCTGCTGCTGCGACTTCTGTTGCTGTTGCTGCTGCGACTTCTGTTGCTGTTGCTGCTGCGACTTCTGTTGCTGTTGCTGCTGCGACTTCTGTTGCTGTTGCTGCTGCTGCTGCAGCCGCGTCTCCCGGCAGCGCAGCAACATCGTTCCCCTCACCCTTCCACTGTCTGTCTCCTTACCCATGCCCCCAGACGGAGAGGCAGCAGCAGAGGGAGTCTCTGCCTCCGCTGCTTTCGCCTGAGACGCCTCCTGTTTCACAGAAGAGTTCCCGGAAAAGCTGCTGTTGATGCAACTGCTTCCAGCTACAGCAGCAGCCCCTTCAGCAGCAGGTTCTGCTGCTGCAGCCGCTGCTGCGGCAGCTCGCGTGAAGGCTGCCCCACTCCGGATGCTTGCAGTTTTGATGATGCAACAACTGCCATTCACTAAAGCCGTTGACTGCAATCCTTGAACATCACTCGCCACTTTTTTGGGATCTCGGCTAGCCATAGGATTCGCCCTGCTAACTGCAGCAGAACAGGGAGGAGGGGAATCGTCTCCCTCTTCTCTCTCTGCGCTTCCCTCTTCCTTCTCTCCTCCGCGGAGCCGCATACCTCTCCGACGCAAAACTGAAGGCGAAGCGGCTTCTGCTGAAGTCTCTGCTGCTGGCGATGCTGCGGATGTCGTCGAAGCTGCTGCAGCTGCTGCCGCTGCTCCACGTCGAGGCCGTCCATTTCTATCTACAGGCAAGTGGTGTGGCACCGCCTCCTTCGTCAAAGCCGCAGTTGCGACTGCAGGAGACGATAACACAAGCGCTGCTGCACGGCGATGCTGGAGATTCAATGGCTCCAGCGTCGACGTAGGAGAAGCCACAGTGCAGGAATGCTTCGCCTTTCCTAATCGCGCAGGCGAAGGCGCATCTGCTGCACTTTGCTCCAACTGCTGCTGGTCCTGCTGCTGCTGCTCCTGATCGTGTTTCTCATGATTTTGCTGATTTTTCGAGGGCTGAAGCCGCGCATGGCTGCCGACAGACGCCGCCGTGGGAGACGCTGCAGCAGCAGCAGGGGATGCAGACGAATCTCTCTGCTGCTGCTGCTGCTGCGGCTTGACTGGTGCTGGCTGCTTCTGTTCTTGCACCTTCGTGTGGGGCAGATGGTGCGGCACAAGCAACTGCTGCTGGTGACGCAGGAGAGCAGGGGGCTGCAGCTCGAAACAGCAAACCTCCAACTTTATTTTTCCGTGCTTCAGGAGTGCTGCCACCTCGTCGGGCAGGGGATGCTGCACCTGCTGCTGTACACAATCCCATAGCTCCTGCAGCACCTCCACAAAAACACCTTTTTACCGAATTAAAAACAAACTCCAATCCGTGACAGCACTGCACTGTGGAGGGCCTCTAACGATTGCAAGCCGCGCAACATCACAGCAGCAACGGTAGATCCATACCTGCAGGCAGATCCTCCGTTGGTGAGGAGTCGAAACCAGCAGCTTCGACCAAACGGCTAGCCGCTTCGCTGATTCGTCTGCATCCAAACGGCCGCAAAACACACAGCCCCTTCCCCCATGTGGTCAAAAACCAACTCCACTGTGCAGCTGTATCTACACTGTGCAGCTGTATCTACACTGTGCAGCTGTATCTACACTGTGCAGCTGTATCTACACTGTGCAGCTGTATCTACACTGTGCAGCTGTATCTACACTGTGCAGCTGTATCTACACTGTGCAGCTG